AGTATTCATCTAAGCCACAGTTATTCATATATTTAGTTCAATACAATTAAATTTAATTTATATCTCAACAGTAATTGTCTCAAGGGGCTTTATATTATAAGGTAAAGACCTTACAATATAAAGGCTATCATCATCAAAAACAAAATTCTTTGATATTCTGAAATATTGCTTCATATAAACGAGTGCTGTTAATACTTACCAACAAAATAACTGCATGAACATCTCAAGCAGTATCTTGCCTTACAATACCTAGAAATATCTTCTTTTACCATTTAAACCTTGGTGTTTCACTGTGAAATTTTACAAAAACTTGGCTGCTGCCCAAAAAGCTCTTTTCAACTGAGCACAGAAAGCATAACTACTTTCGAACTTCAATGCTAAAATCAAGAAGAGAAAAGACTTCAAAATAAAATTTCAAATAAGTTGGATTGTTTTGAAAAAAAAAAAAGACAAATTAAGCTGACTTACTAAAATATTGTTGTGTTGTCAGTGATAAATCCATCGACCAGAAATCAGAACAAAAACTATATCTGGAAGGAAGACACAAAATGCTTTGTATTAGCTTTTTGGGCTCATCATCATACAGACATCACACAAAAAAGGATACAGAGCTTTTTGATGCTGATGCCAATATGAATCTTTTTTTTAACCAGAAACATTTTAGTGCACAGTAGGTACAAATGATGCCATATACTTATAGTATGGCATCGGAAAGGGTCTTGTTACTCCTCACCTGATGCTAGGATTAGTACCAGTGCTAAGAACTGTCCAAATTTTTTAAACAGTTCAGATATTTTAAATTATCAATCACACAGGTCTATAGAGTGATAACTTCAAAATTAATTCTGCAGCATGATGAAAACCCCAGAAACATAGCATAAGATATAAAGAACTAGCTAAATTGAGTCCGGCAGCGAATGGTATGACCTTTCAGAGCATTCTCATTCCCAACATGTAGCATAACTACGATTTGTCACGTCCCATGGCATCTCAAAGGTAACCTTCCGCATCCCTATGATATGCTCCGGATTGTGGATGGAATCCAAAAGAATGATGCTCGCGGAGGTAACACACATTCCAGCTGTGTATTCCGGCCCTAACCGTAACCTTAACCCTAACCTTAACCATATCAGATAGTGTTTTCCAAAGCGATGCATGATCAGATGTGTAGATTCATTCCAAACAGTTCTCGTGCCTCCGAAAGCTTAACATACCGACAACTTATCTCATAGTGTCGGTATGTTACTTTTTGGGATGAGAATGTGTTGGATCTTCACAGAGTCCAGGTTTTAGCTTCATAGATTCCATGTGGAATTACATGAAAAAGGAGAAAGAGGTTCCACAGAGGACCCGGAACAGTCAAGTACTCTGAACAAAGTGTACTACTAAGAATTGGTAGCTGCAGTTTAAAAGCGCTCATTTATCACTACTTTGATTTAATTTCACTCTTTTTTCTTCATCTGACATTTTGGTGCAATCCAATGCTCACAGTAGCACTGCATGTGTCTGATTGTTTGATAGTTATTCCATGGTATACATTTGCTTTTGGATGTGCCAAATTTGTGTGTACTTGCATTGGTATGTGTGTGTGATGCGAGACTGGCTGGTTAGTGGACAATGGCTGGCCATCTGTGAGAAGTGAAGTGAGTGAATAACAGGTTGTCGCTGTTGAATGCCGGACTCATCACATCCCAGGAATGCTGATGGGGGCAAATGTTTGCCTGGGATTCCCTGATATGAACGCACACAAACATATACACGCATTCTAAAGTTTCAGCAGTGTTCTGTACTCCTGCATACTGTGTAACTTACTTCCAAAATAAAATGTAAATCCAGGAATTTGTGTCTGATGAGAGGTAGGTCAACTGAGTAAAAGAAAAAGAGAAAGAGAGAGAACGGAAGCTCCATAGACAGAAAGGAAATATCGTGGTCTTGATTTAACTGTGTTCTTAAAAAACTGCTTAGAAACACAAATAAATAAATAACAAAGACTTTTCAGATGTCTTACACGTGAAACATATTCTCAAATGACAAATGGCTACTAATTCACCAGTCTAACGGTGGTATGTGTACATGTACATGATGTGTTGACGTGATGAAATACCATCGGCCATGGCAGACAATAGGGAAGCTGCCAGATGGATATTGTTCTGGCTGCTGTGTGCTTTTGATGGATCAGAGGTCTTTGTGCTAAAACAGCCCAAACAGTTAACTCCTGGCCTGCCATTTGCACAACGAAATCCGAAAATATGCACAGTCACAATAAAAGACAATTCTGTTCATTACTCAGTTAATCAACTACCTTAGTGTATATCCAGAAACTTGAGAAGACCGTGCTCAGTGTTTAAGCAATTAGTTTCACATGGTGTGGAATAGTACTGAAGATGATTAAATGCAGTTTGCTTTTAAGAAAAGATATTTTTGATACATATATTAAAAATGTAAATGTATGTCTAAAAGTGCCATTCCAAAAATGTGGAAAGAGTTTCTAACTGTACACACAAGTGAATAAATGGGCCCAAAGTTGCCTAAGATACTAAAAGTACAAAGCAAATTTTTTTTTAAAGTGTGCAAAGATTTATAGAATGGCACACGGCATCTAAAGAGAGTATGGAAATAATCAATTCAGCAGCTGGTTGGCTGGTTAGGAGCAGCAACTTATTTCCTCCATTTACTACAGCAAGTCACACGGTACAATTCCAACAAGCAGAAAAACTACAGGAAGGTTCTTCCTTTCGTGGTAACATTAGACAGTGTGTCTCCTATACAAAAGATAAACAACTAGCAATGGTTGCATTTAAATATCCATCAAAACTAAAATGTAAGCTTCCCTACAGTTGACCTCAAATTTATTTAAAAACAAAAAAACAGTCCTACCGCCTGTTTTCCATTAGTTTCTTGTCCATGGCTCTTTAAAAAAAACTTATTTTTTAACTAAAGTATCAAAATCTAGCCTAAGACCCCACAAAATGCATTCTTTTTTCCCAAAGATTATTTAAGCCTGGACGATATTGGTTTGGATTTGTGGCTTCCTGTCTGCCGTCTTTCCCACATGGATGTGAACGCATCATGAGAGGTGCTGATAATCCAGCAGGTGGAAAGATGATAATGCCTCTTCCCTCCCACTTCAACCTCCAGCATCACTCTACGGTGACCCTGCTTACCGCGTTTCTTCTCTTCTTTTTTCTTTTAGTCCCACGGAGGTTCTCGGGGCAACCAAGAGAAGATTGGGCAGATTGATAGAAGGGAGAAGGGAGGGAGAGAGACACAGAGAGAGCAATACACAGAGTAACAGAGAGAGAAAGTTAACAACAAAAAAGGAGGGAAAAAGAAAAGAAGAATACGCGAGGCTAGTCTAGTCTAAAAAAAAGGGCGCGTGTGGAACCTGTCCCGCGAAGGCGAAGCACAGCGGCTGCGTCCCGCGTGGCCAAGGCCATCCGCCACTGTCAAACATTGGTGTCCCCGTGCAAGGGGCGCAGGAGGGGGGTGGTAAGGGGAAGGCGCGCGTTTGAGTGCGCGCGCGTGTATATGTGGTGTAACGCAACTATCACATTCCTGACCAGACAAAAATTTTCTTTAACAACTTCTGTTAAGGGAAAAATAAATATTTGGATTGTTCCTTGTTGCAGTATGAGGTAAAACACCCTCTGGGTATTAGCTAATAACTTACTAGCTTTTTTACTGTCATTACAAATAAACATCAATATGGAAGATTACTGATGTCAAAAATGGAGAAATCAGAAAAAAACAGACAAAAATTGAAGTGTAAAAGTAAGCTCATCTTTCTACAAGTTCTTCATATTGCAACAGTTTTTAGCCCCCAAAAGGAATTTACATGTTAAAGTGTTACATTACATGAGTGTTACATACATGACATTTAGTTACAAGTAAATTACATTCAGTTACAAAGATGATATTTTAAATGAAATTTAAAAGAATAGACGCATTAAACACCATCAAGTTTTAATAATAAAAGATACAGGATAACAGAAATTAAACACAACAAAATACAAATGTAAAGACAAAATATAAGAAGCAGAAAACACAGAAACTAAAATCAGTTATCCCAAGCTTAGTACAGACATGAAAATCTTGCAGCAATAGTCAGCCGTGTGGCCAAGCTTAATATGGCCCAGAGCGCCAGTGTACAATAAAATGAATTCTATCCACCCAATGACAGCCTTATAATTAAACACTGACATATAGCCCATTTTCACATCTTTTAAACAGAAAAGACTACCTCAGTATTCATGTGAGATTAAGTGATTCATAGTATAAATGTTGACTGCAATAAATGTGAAAAGTAGAGTGATAAATAACATCCACAGTCTTAGGAATGCAGGCAGAGACAAATAAATTATAAATGTCACTGTATCTTTTTTAAAAACCTTTTTTCACTCCAAAATGTTGCAAAGTTTTTTCTTTTTCTGTAAAAGAAAACAAGTTTTTTGTTGTTGCTTCTTAACAACTACAAAGAATGGGGTGACACCATCTATTCACCTATGTTATCACTTAGTTTTGTGTCACCCAAAAAAAGTCCCTCTGGGTAGGGGAAGGAATTGTTGCAGACCTGTTTGCTCACCAGCAGGGGTCAGCAGAGTACAGTATCTCATTACAGAACAAAAGAATTCATGGGTTTGTCTTTTTCATTCCTTTAAAAACAAACATCATAAATATCATAAGAATAAACTACATAACCAGTCAAATGAAAAGAAGATTAAATGTTATCTGGAGACTTTTTGCATTCAATTAATTATTATGAAAAATACAACTTTTTGTAAATATTTGTACATCAGTGGCTTTTCATCAGGACCTTTCAATCAGGACAAGGCCCAGGGGTTGGGGACTGCTGCTTTACATTACTGCCTTCTTGTGGTCTGCTTGCTTTGTACTCATAGGAAATTGTAGCTGTCCCCATTTTTTTCTTTCTACAAACAATTTATAGAACATGATTCTGGACATTGAACAGAATAAAAAGTATTTAAAATGACTTCAACATTAAACACATGTAGTTAAATGCACATGATGTATTTATATTTTTATTTGTTAAACAGCTTATCTACATACAACCTCATTTAACATGAAAGTATAGTTTTAAGATGCTAACATCCTCTCCACCCCTTGATTTTCTATAGATTATCATTGAAAATGTCCAATTTGTGAGTTGTATTTACATTTATGATTCTCACACATGCATTATATCTCTAAAATGACAATGTTTTTATCAGTTTCTTCTCCACCCTCCGTCTTCTAGCTACATTTCAAAATCAGGTTGAAACAAGTGACTTCTGGTTAGTCCTGATCCGCATCTTCTCTCTGCTGCCTAATTTCCTCTCCTTCTGATCACAGAGACCCCTACAAGAAAAAATAAATAAATTATATATAATATAAAGAAGTGCATATGGAATGCACAGCTTAAAACTTAAAAACAAAAATAATGCACAAAAGAATTGCGTCAATCAGCTGATTAATCACCTGACTGTCTGATTAATACTATTACCTAGAGACAGCCTTGATGACAAGATATACAAGTTCAGCCATGTTAAGGACCATGCAGATAGATGAGGTAGTGGCCATGAAAACAGTGAAGATGGTTTTCTCAGTTGGACGTGAGATGAAGCAGTCCACCAGGTTAGGACATGGCCATTGATCACATTGCACCAGCCGTGGCATCTGGAAACCATCGTACACCACATACAGAGCATACCTGGAGACACAGATATCGTACCATCAAACCAAAACAGCCATGTGAGACTGATGGAAAAAGGAAGCACTGATCTTACATGAATCCTGCTTCAAACAGCAGCCTGAACACCAGGCTGCAGGCATATGTCCACCAGAGGGCACCAGCTATTGGGAGCCTCCGCTTTTTCAGAGTCTCTAACTCCTCATCTTGGCCCTTTGCACTGAGAAACCCAGCTCTACCAGGACTCTGTCACACAGGATGAGATCATTTGAGCACTCAAAGAGCTTTCTACTACAAGTCTCATTCACCCAAACACACACATTCATACATGCCTAAGTGCCTTTTTATCTAATATTAACTTACACACACTGATTGATGCATTGGGGGCAAATTAGGTCTCTGTCACAGCTGCCCCAAATGACATCATCATTTTGTCTGTCATCACGATGACTTTGCCGTAATCATAATAAAACAATGCACACACCTGAAGGAGCTTCCTCTTATCTCTGTGGTTACGATAGGCCACATACATGGCAACCAGGAGTGTTGGCGTGGAGACAAAGACAAGCTGAAGACACCAGAGACGGATGTGGGACACAGGAAAGAACTGATCATAGCAGACGTTTTCACAGCCAGGCTGAGGGAAAAACAAACCAACCATGATCGTCACAATTATGACAACATCAGTGTATAGTTACTAGACCCTGTGTACGAGAAAATGCTAACTTCCTGGTTTGAGACCGGATGTGGGGTTGTACATTTCCGGTAGCTTTACTTTGCGGTCAATCGCTACTGCGAAGATATACTCCAAAATCATGTCCAAAACTCAAAAACGGAAAGATCGCGTTAAGTTACAAAGAGCAGAAGGTGGGAACACTCACCACTGTTGTGTCATAAAAAATCTAATGATCAATTTTGACGTTTAAAGAGTTTAGATCGATCAGTTGTTTACATCACTCAACACAAGCAGAACTGCATCACTGCAGCAGAAGACACATCGTCCACATTCAGAAGCACATCTCTGTATAGTGACAGTTATTATGATTTAAACAGGCAAATGTTCAGCATTCAAACTACAGGTGAAGAATAGTCAAACCAGATGTTTCCCTGTTATGTCGATATCAGCTAGTCAAGTACACACCTACACAGCATGTCAACAAACCGTGAAAAAAAGCCACACAAAAAATGAACGATTGCTGGTAAGGGTTTCTATACATTAGTATTTACGATGGGTATGTTGTGACTTACCTTCACAATTACAGTGGTCCCTCGCTAATAACCCCGTTCACCTTTCACCTCGCTGTTTCGCGGATTTTTTAGTGCAAGTTTGCATGCTTATTTTTACATCACATTGTGTCCTGCGTCCTGATCGCTGCAGACAATCTCCTCCGTGACGTCTCTCCTGTACAGTACAGAATCGCTGCATCGATCGCTAGCAGTGTGACTCTGAAGTGCAGAACTGTATGTCAACAATGTCCACAAAACGTTTTGCACCTTCAAAACATAAAATTGGCTACTTGATTTCACCTATCACCGGTTATTTTTTAGAACATAACACCCACGATAAACGAGGGACAGCTGAGAAATATAACATTTGAATCCCTTTTCTCTTTTGCTCTGAGGCGCGGGGGAAAAATGTCAACAAGTCGATGAACATCATTTACAGATATATTGGGTAAATGCCCAAGACATCTAGAGAAATGTAAATCGCCGCTTGATTCATTCACTTGCTTAACTTGTTTTGGACCGTAAACAAGGCGCGAATAGGACACCGGAAACAGGGTTAGGGTTAGGGTTAGGGATGAACCTGTTTTTGCCTTCAGAACTGTCTTAATTCTTCGTGGCACCAATTCAACAAAGAGCTCGAAACACTCCTCTGATACTGCGGTCCATGCCATCACTCAGCTGTCGTTTAAACTTGTCACAGAGTCTCCGTTTCCTGGCTGACAGGAGTGGCGCCCGACACAATAAAAGCACAATAAAAATATTAAGTGGTGATAGATAGTGACTACTTTTTAGATTATTAATACTTTATGTAGTATAAAACTTTACAGTATAACTTTGAAGTCAGTTCTTAGACAGGAAACCAGTGGAGAGAAGCCATCTATTAAAACCAGTGAGAAGAGTAGATTCTGTATTCTTCGAGAACTAGGGGTGAGAGAATGATTCTTTGAGCTGCAGAATTCAAGCTCAGACAATAAAACCCAAATCTTATTTTAACAAATAAGTGTCATTATAACTTACATCCCATGTGTGGATCGGATGTAAAAATGGACACGTCCTACCTGCAATGTGTTACAGGTGAAGTCAGACTGCTCGTCCCCCCAGACGCTCTCCGCGGCAACAACCAGCACCATGACCCGGAAAATAAAAAGCACAGAGAGCCAGATTTTACCCAGGCTGGTGGCATGACGGTTCGCCCCGACCAACTGAGTGTACAGAGCGGGCCAAGACATCCTGGGGGAAAGGACAGTGACAAGGGAATGGGAATGCTTGCACTACAGAACAGGGATTCATCAGCATACTCGTTTGCATTTCTTGTCATTACACGGTCGTGTTTATCTGCTACTTTTACAGCCTCTACACGTCTGACACATGGACACCGATTTCAGATTTCAGATTTACAAGGAAGTCAGTGGCAAACGATGAAAGCAGAGACCGTCGCTGAACAAAAGACGAGTTTGAAAGAGGACGGGATGAAAAGGAATGAAAGTGAGAGGAGGAGGGGAGAAGGTCCACTGCCAGCATTCATGTGAACTGATGAACCTCTCTGCCCACTGTGGACTGTACTGAACCGAGCCCACTCATCTAAAAGCACACTGAAACACACTGTACAAGCACACTGCTGCGGTTCTCACTGAGCTTCACTGTTCACACTCGGTCACTGATTGGTTCATTCATATTTTTTAGATGATGTGTACTTGCACTGAAAGAACCTGGGATATACTTCACATGTCATGCTTATTTAGAGGTTTGTTTCTAGCTGGAGATGTTTTGTCGTAAAGTAAAAACAGAAATTCTGATAAAAACTGGAAGCAACTTTTACCAAAATGAATTAAGATTAACTTTTGTTTTGTCTTTGTTGTTTTCTTACCTTGTGTCTTCAGTGTCAGGATGTCTCCATGAAAGTATTCCACATGATCCTTTTCAGTATGAAAGCGCGCGCACACACACACACACACACACACACACACACACACACACACACACACACACACACACACACACACACACACACACACACACAGCCTGTTGTTGCATCAGTCACATTTAAAAGAAAATCTCAGTCTAAGAAACTAAAACACAAACCTGCAGCTCCTGCTTTCTTTGCATGAAATCAAAGATGTGCCTCTCAGTGTGAAGTGAGACAGGATGATGTCTGATAGCTTCCTGTGATGACTTTCAAAATAAAACAACACAGCGCAGATTGTGCATTTTAGGAGGAAGAGATAACAGAGAGGAGAAATACAGATAATATTTTTAGCAGAAATGTAGCAACAAGAAAAACTCTGGATTGTGACAAGAAGCACTCTGAGAGTTTTGTTATTTGCTCTGTTAAAACCCATTTTAAAAGGCTTGACATAATTTTGAAATATTTTTATGTGGATATAACGCATTAATTTCATTACTTAGTAAAATCAGTTTTTTTGTTTAGGAATCAATGTCAAATTTAAAATGTTTTTGATCACAACCTTATATTGTTTTCAACAAAAACCTTATTTAGGAACATTGTGCAAGGATATTCATATTGTTACATATTTAACTGATCATAGCCTGTTATTGTAATTTACAGGGTGGGCCATTTATATGGATACACCGTAATAACATGGGAATGGTTGGTGATATTAAAGTCCTGTTTGTGGCACATTAGTATATGTGAGGGGGGCAAACTCCTCAAGATGGGTGGTGACCATGGTGGCCATTTAGAAGTCGGCCATCTTGGATACAACTTTTGTTTTTTTCAATAGAAAGAGGGCCATGGGACACATCAAACTTATGGGTAATGTCACAAGAAAAACAATGGTGTGCTTGGTTTCAACGTAACTTTATTCTTTCATGAGTTATTTACAAGTTTCTCTTTGTTCACAGCCATTGACATGTCGAAGAGGTTAACACGTGTGGAGCGGATCTAAATTGTGTTGATATCTGGTGAACGCAGTAACCGGGTCATTGCAGTAGACTGCAAGACACCCTACGAGACCACCCATCTCCCATGCTTTCGTGAAACTGGTTCAGTGTTGGATTTGCCAAAATATGGACGCAAGAAAACTGTCACTAATGAAGAAACATCAGTGGCTGTCCTAGCTTCATTCAGCAAGACCCTCAGTTCATGCTGAAGATTTTGTTCAGTGATGAGGCAAACTTTATTGTGAATGGTGAAGTTAACAAACAAAACCACCGCTATTGGTCTGACACTAACCCACATTGGATGGATCCCTCCAAGACTGTTGGAACAACAAAAGTGATGGTTTGGTGTGGTATATGGGGTACAACGATAGTGGGTCCATTCTTCATCAGTGGAAACCTCAAGGCCACTGGATATTTGAAATTGCTACATGATGATGTGTTTCCCTCTTTATGCACTGAAGCTGGCACGTTCCCTGAGTTTTTCCAGCAAGATGGTGCACCGCCACATTATGGGTGCCAGGTCCAAGCATTCCTAGATGAACAGTTTCCTGGAAAGTGGATTGGTCGTCGTGGGCCAGTTGAACGGCCCCCAAGGTCTCCCGATCTGATCCCCTTAGACTTTTATCTGAAGGCAATTGTCTATGGTGTGAAGATACGAGATGTGCAGCACCTGAAACTACGGATACTGGATGCCTGTGCTGGCATTTCTCCTGCGGTGTTGCTATCAGTGTGTGAAGAGTGGGAGAAGAGGGTTGCATTGACAATCCAACACAATGGGCAGCACATTTAACACGTTTTATAAGTGGTCAGAAACTTGTAAATAACTCATGAAAGAATAAAGTTACATTGAAACCAAGCACACCATTGTTTTTCTTGTGACATTACCCAATAAGTTTGATGTGTCACATGGTCCTCTTCCTATTGAAAAAACAAAAGTTGTATCCAAGATGGCCGACTTCTAAATGGCCACCATGGTCACCACCCATCTTGAGGAGTTTACCCCCTCACATATGCTAATGTGCCACAAACAGGACTTTGAAATCACCAACCATTCCCATGTTATTACGGTGTATCCATATAAATGGCCCACCCTGTACATGACAAAGACAAAGATTTTTAAGCATGATTTTAAGGATAAAAGGCATTTTATTAAATTTTGATCTTATTTGACCTCAAGAAGAGGTCAGAGATCCAAAGAAAGGTGATAGCTAGAATCCCCGTATATCACTCCCTTTATGTCAATATACATATAATACAAACAATGGCAATAAAAAACATAGCTTTAAATAGCCTTGTCTAGAATTATTATTACTTTGACCTTCAGATCAAACTACTGATCTTGAAGCAGAGGTCAGAGGCCAAATGTATTTTTATTCAGTGCTTTCTGTATGTTGATAATACACATCAAAACTTGTGAGATTCATAGTTTCAAGTTATAAGGTTTTCGTCCATTTTCCACCAGTAACCATTAAGTCGACCTTGAAGTCCTCGATGGATGTAAATCAACTTATAATGGACTGTTCACATGACCTCACTCTACACCTCTACAAAGTTTTATCAAAATTTATTCAGGAATATAAATTCAAAGTAGTAATGAGATGAAACACCAATTATTGATCACGACTAATAAGGACAGGGCGTCGTGTGCAGGCAGGAGTGGTGAAATGGAGGACCTACAGTGCAGACTCCAGAGACAAAACATGAACTCAAAAAAACAGCTTTAATGCCGAACTCAAAAGTAACAAACTTCAAAATACAAACACTCAAGCACGCAGCCAAAACACACAGCTTGAATGAGGGTGGATCATGACACAGACAGATGAAAACACAGGGCTTAAATACACAGAGGGAACAATCAGGGAATGAGAGACAGTAGGGAAACACAGCTGAGGCAAATCTGGGCTGACAAGACAAAGGAAGCAAAACCAGATAACATGAGACAGACTTTCAAAGTAAAACAGGAACTACAGACTGAACTTACAGACACAGACTCACAAGCAGGCACTGCAACAGAGGGAACAGAGACATGGACTGACTGGACACAGAATAGAGGGAGTATGGAAACCAAAACTTAAGAACTACATAATCACACACCAAGAAGAACTTGGGAAAATAGAAATGCAAAACAGAAACCAAGACCTTCACAATAATAAACTAAGATGAGAACACAAATAAAAGGTACAAAACTGAAACCACTGGGTCAACGACCCAGGTACCCTAACACAGAGCAGGCAATTGCTAAAGAGGGAAAAAAAGATAACCTTGGCAGGAAGTAAAAGAACAAAGGGAATGCAAGAAAGGTTTGCTTCCAGTAAAGTTTCATAGAAATTTTCCACTTTTTAATGTTTCACAGGCTGGTTAGTGCTCTTTAGAAAAGAGCTCAGTTTCATGTGCAAGATGAGTGGGACTAGTCATGTTGCCTTTTCTTTGACATACTGGATTTTCCCAACTAAATAAACTTGGTTTGGATGACCATCCACTGCACCTCCTCTGCAGTGTGGAAGTCAGAGAGCAGAAAGAAGCAAAGCTGCGCTGGGGTTTAATGTGTGCGCGCGATCTGTTTGTGGCTGTAAGCTGAAACAGGTAGAGTCAGATGATTTTTCAGGTCCAAACCAGGACTTGGCAACAGTCACCCTGCAGGACAGAGCAGCTCTGTGTGTTGCTGATGGCTGTGACCGATGAGCCTTTCCCACTGTTTGTCAACGTGTGGAAGGATAAAGCACAACTTCCTCAGTTTACAATAAGGATGCTCAGAAATGAAGACTATTGAGGAAGCTCTAACTAGTTCTGCATTCTGTGCTGCAGTTTGAGTGGTGCGGATATAAACTGTGAAACAAATATTTTGCAAACAAAAAGCTGCCAGCTTGTTAAAAGTTGACGAATGAAGCAGAAGCGTCCCCGTGCAGAATTGCAGACGTCCTGGCTGGAATCTCATGTGCATAACTACACGTAACATGACCCAGCATGATGAGGAGACACGAGCTGAGACAGAGAGGGCGTTAGTGATTGTAATGGAGTCATTAGGGGAATAACAGCGCCACTTATTCTTGATGCATATCAATGAATGAGTATCAGTGTCAGGGCCCGACTCAAAGAGCCACTGTTTGATCTCTCAGTCAGCACAGGGTGAAAACAGAGGGGTGAAAGCTGGCAGATTGGCTGCCCATTCTGATGAGAGGAGGTGGTGATGCAGTGGTGATGGTGGGGGGGCTCAAAGACACGCACACACACACAGTGAATGGGTGGAAAGAAAAAGAGAGAGGTAAAATAGAGCTGATTGTTAGAGTAGCTCCTGATCAGCCACAACTGCAGGAGAACAGAGAGAGGCACTGTTAGGATACACACACTGCACAAACACACACACATACATACTGTACAAAGACGCACTGTACAACGCTCACATATATGTTACCCAGAAATCTACACACGCTCACCCTCACACCATGTAATGAGTGAGGGGGAGAGCAGCATGTGACTGAATAGCAGGTTTCACATCTGTAGGTGGACTTGGCTGCCTGATCTCAGATCAGCCACTCTGTGGAAGTCTGTACAAGTGCTGCAGGATGGGCATTTACCCCCCTTCAGTAACATCATCTGAAAGGCTACTACAGGTGTTTCAGACAGGGGTGCACTGGCCACCCCCACTCCATACTGAGAGAGCGAATTCAGATTTCAAAATCTTATTTGCTTTCATATGTACCTATTTTCAGTGATATTAACTTTAATAGCAGGAAATTAACAAGGCATATAATTCTTTTCTTTCTCTCTTATATAACTTATATTTGACAACAACATAATAAAACCGCTAATTCTCTTTTTGGTGTGCCACCCCAATATTTTTAATGGCCCTCCTGTGAAAGAAAATCTGGAGCCGTCCCTGACCAGAAGGTGGCAGTAACTTATTCTGCGGTGGACGAAAGCACACGGGAAACGGAAACTACATGCTATCCGCCTCATTTTTGGCTGCAGCCTGGCTGAAATATCCAACACGGAGGCACAAGTCACCTAACTGAAGCAGTAAATTATTTAAAAAGTAGCAATGGCACTTGAATCGCGGATCACACAGGAGGAAATAAAGAAAGAACCAGAGAAGCCAATTGACAGGGAAAAGGTAACCAGCGGATTCTGATTCGCGTGCTGTTTTTGTTATTAGCTCTGAGTTAGCCCTGAAAGCTAACTGGTCAGTTTGATGCAGACTGCCTGATGTTTGCTCAGAACTGTCGCAGTTTTAGGGGTAAGAATAGATAAAGCTGCATTTGCGCTTTGTTTTCAGGATATGCAGCGTTAATGCTCAGAGTCGCCAGTTTGGATACAAAGTGTGCTAGTTAGCTAATAATCAGTTCGATAGCATCCAGCGGCACTGTTGCATATGATTTATGCAGTTTTTTTTCGTTGCATATAACCTAATATAATTTTGCAGCTGATTAGTAACTGTTTGCTTAGTGTTTACGTCGTAAAATAGTAAGAAAAAAAATTAAATTAAATTAAAAAAGCAAAGCTGTTATTGAATCGTAATTCACAGCTGGCAAAAGCACGAGGCATTTCTTTCCTTTTTTAAAGCTAGAATACCTTTAAGGTCTTTATCGAAATCCTGGCGTTTTGAAATGTGCCTGTAGGCAATTGCAAGAAAAAGCATTTATCACTTAATTTAGCTCAGTTGTCCTGTTAGATTTAGCGTTAAAGAACTTCAGTGATGTCTTACTATGAGTTTACTTTTGTGGCATTTTGAGTAAACAAATAAAATAGCGCTGCAGTTTAAAGTTAGATTTGTACGCAAAAGTTCAGAAATTAGCAATAAGGGAAACATTGTGAAGTGCGTAAAATAAATCGGTCAGTAAAATGTGAAGGCTCTAATGTAGAGCAGGGCGATATGACCAAAAGTATTTATCACGATATACATTTGAAAATTTGCGATAACAATATAACTGATGATATAATTGACACGAGACAAAATACTTTACAACTTTATTAGTGCAAAACAAAAAAAATCAATGTATTTTCACTTAAATAAGCAGCTGGGTTTGTTTTATTTTTATTTTTTATTAATGTGCATTAAAAGTTATATAAAAATGTAACAGTGCAAATTCCTTGCTGGCAGTTTAACCAAAAGGTATTTCCAGTGGAAATTGGCCGACAGATCCTCAGCATAACCATGTGTAATATCTACATAACTTAAAAAGAGCTTATACACACACAATACGGTAATATTATGTTGAAGCACAGTACATATTACTCCGTGAGGCTCCTGCGTACGACCCAAATTCTATCACCATATTTCATTTTCTTATCGTTGCCCAACATTATACCCGTATTACCGTGAACGGTATGATATGGCCCAGCCCTACTCTAATGCGTCTCTTACATATCTTTAGAACAGTTTGTTTGCACCAGACAAAATGAAAACGCATTGATCTTACTACTGTGATTGAATTGTAAATAAGCCTGTGAGGCAAGCAAAGGGAATCTATGGTGATCGAGGCGATCACCATAGATTCCCTTTGCTTGCTTTCTTGATTGAGATTGGGAAGTAGATCTTACATCTTTCAATGCAGAATAATGAAATGGAAGTCAAAGCAAACAAAACTTTCACTTAATTTAATCTTGCCGTAAAATAATTTTGACCACATTTCCATTAACTGGCTTCACTTACTGTGACATTGGTAGTGAGAGTTTATACAGTCTTTCTGTCAACTGGAAAGTAAACCCAGATTTTTCCAGTCAGACTACATTATGCTCACATGAAAGGAGCTGCCTTGGCCATGCTAGTGCATTACAACTGTAAAACAATTTGTACCTTGTTCTTTCAGCTGCAGTCTCTGGAGTGTTTAGTGCTCTGACAAAGTAAAAAATAAGAATGAGTAGGGCGAAAGCGGATCGTTGAATGAAACGGATGAACCGTGTTTTTGCGGCACACTTAAAATCAGTCCTTTGATTTTCTGAAAAATCGACCGTGCCCCTTATAATCCCGAGTGCCTTATGTATGAATTCTGGTTGTGTTTACTGACCTCGAAACGATTTTCTGTGGTACACGGCGCTCGAAAATCTGTCAAATGTTTTAGTACGACTTTGCTAAGCTACGAACCCGCACCGCTTGATGGATTGTCGGAGCATTACGGTTATCGTAGGCAGGCGCCTCGAGGAGTGATACGTACTGTGCTTCAACATAATATTACCGTATTGTGTGTGTATAACCTCTTTTTAAGTTTTGTAGATATTATACATGGTTATGCTGAGGATCTGTCGGCCAATTTCCACTGGAAATGCCTTTTGGTTAAACTGTCAGCAAGGAATTTGCACTGTTACATTTTTATATAACTTTTAATGCACATAAAAACAGCTGCTTGTTTAAGTGAAAATATATTGATGGTTTTTTTTGGGGGGGGGTGCACTAATGAAGTTGTGGAGTCATAAAGTATTTTGTCTAATGTCAATTATATCGTCAGTTATATCGTTATCGCAAATTTTCAAATATATATCGTGATAAATATTTTTGGTCATATCGCCCTGCTCTAGTATCAGGTTCTGTTATTTTGTGCAGGGTTTCTTAGTAGTCATTTAAAAAATAACAGAGAATACACACCTGAATTATTTGAAATCAATATTTTTTTTTATATCTCTTATGAATCAAATGTTTTCATTGTGTTTCTTCCATTGTAAACTGAATTTGTTCAGTAATATTATTATTATGTTTCTTTGCTGCAGACCTGCCCCCTTCTGCTGCGAGTCTTCACCACCAACAGTGGGAGACACCACAGAGTCGATGAATTTGCTCGAGGAAATGTTCCTTCCAGCGAACTGCAGATATACACTTGGTAAGATCACAGATGTGTCACTGGTTTTTGTTTTTTGTTTGGGTGGTTGGTTGGTTTTTTTGTGAGTGTGGGTGTTTTGGCCGGAGTCAAGGATTTGCCAGTGTTTTAAGCTGAGTTTGTAAAACAACAGAAACATAGTGTTATAATGCTCTCGGGGTTGGATAATTTTCTCAAATCAGTGCTCCTGGCCATCTCCCTGTAGCATCGCTGATCAGTGATAGCATTGTTGCTGTGGTGACAGAGGACGTTGATTGATTTGGCAGTCATGGTTAACATAATTGGGAGCACATCGGCTAAATAGTTTAAAGAGGACTAAATAAAAACATTTGCAGGCCCTTTAATTTTTTAAGTTAGAGCTATAGTTCGCATGAGTCGTCCAGTTTGTTTTCTCTGTGTCATATCCCACCTGTCTCTGGCTCTCTTTTCATATACAGTGGATTTTTCCCACAGACAAAAACAATATTGTGAAAAAGTTAAGGAGCTAAGGGTGTCGTTTTTCGGTTTGTTTTCTTTTTGAATAAGGACACTGGAGCTGGTCTCTGATTGTGTTTATGTGTTTCAGGATGGATGCTACACTAAAAGAGTTGACCAGCTTGGTGAAGGAGGTATATCCAGAGGCCAGGAAAAAGGGCACCTACTTTAGCTTTGCCATTGTCTACCCTGATCCCAGAGGGAAGATGTACAAGTGAGTATCACACCAAAGACTGCGCTCTTTGGATTCACGCAGCTAAAGAATGTGGTGATCTATGTATATTGCATCTTTAATAACCTCTCTTCTCCCACCTCCTTCAGGTTGAAAGAGATTGGCAGTACTGTGTCTGGCAGAAAAGGTGCAGATGACTCAATGACACTGCAGTCTCAGCGCTTCCAGATTGGAGACTATCTGGATATAGCCATCACACCACCCAACAGAGCACCGCCCCTTGGCACACGCATGAGGCCATTCTGAAAATACACATGCACAAACCTACACCTTCTGTATTTTGTCTTATTTTCATCATCTTGGGATGATTTTGACTCAGTTTTTTTTAGAATGTGATCTGTAATAAAATTGTCCCTTTTTTTCCAAAGTCTGAATAGTTTTTTCTGTGTCACTGTGAGGTGATTATTGAACTTGTTAAACTAGCAAAGAAACAGAAGTGAAGCAGGGAGCTCGCCTCTTCCTTGAATGCTGTATTAATTTCCAGGATTGGAAATGTAGCCATTTACTGAATGCACATTATTTCGCTACCTTTGTATTTGTAAGCTATAATATTAAAATTAACTGAATTGCATTTTAATTAAAAACATGAATAAATATTACAAATTAAGTGAAAAAAAAAAAGTTAATATTCAATATTCACAGTACCCACAAATCACCAATGTCAAATGAGTCCAAGCTACATGTAAGGCAAGAACAGCTTGATCAAAATGTTCTTTTCTTTTGAATGCAAATCTATAGTTAAAGATCAATGAGAAAAACATGGTTGCCATCAATGTTCCCTCTAAACTGCGCGCGTGCACAATTGCGCACTGCTGGCACAGAAAAAAAATCTAACCTGAATTGAAATTGAAATTAAAACTTTAACAATTCTGTTTTGCAGTGTTAGTAAGTGACTGTCTGCTCCCGTATGGGATTAGAACGATGCTACCTTATCCCATAGTCCAGCCAATAATGCGATTCACATTCGTATATACGCAGCTAATCAACGTCGTTGACAGGTTATAACAGCGTCCTTATGTGCCGACACAACCATTGGAGATGTGAGCAGGACAGACGGAACAATTGACGGAAAAAGTGTGGACTTTATACCAGTTTTTAAATTGTGTTGATAGGCCACGTAAAACCAGAGTTATGATAAAAATATATGCAATGTTTGGTTTTCTTCCTGAATACTATCGTTGTTTATATTTACTGCGGGAAGAAACGCTCGAAAGCACTCTCTACCTGTGAGCAAAACCAAAAACGAAAAAAGTACCATGTCGACCAATCAAAAAATGATATGGCATTTAGTTGTTTAGGAAGGGGGAAGTTTTAGGAGTGACGGCGGTGTTTTGAGATGTGAGAGATTTGCGACGTTTAGCGCAAGTTTTGTGTAGTTAGTGTGTAGTGTAGTCAATAGTTTTGTTGTGTGTGTCAGAACAATGAGGCGACTACTTAATGTTATGGCAGTGATACATCTCCTGCTGTCAGGCCTGCAGGTATCAGGCTGTTGTTCTCCTTTATCTCATAGTGGACAGAAATTATTTTTTGGAGTGGCACAAATAATTTCTGTGGCATCAAATTTGATGCAGAACACCTGATTGTTCTGTAAATAGTTTGAAATGCTTATTTAAAAAAAAGCCTTGGCTGCATTTTTAGGTAAACAGCTGCAAAAACTTTGTTGTTTGCATAGCTCAGTTACTTTTTTGAAGAAGTAACTATATAATTAATTGCCCAACAGTGGTCATTATTTACTGTATTTTGCAGACAGAGAGTTACAGGACTCTCTCCCAGACCACAGACTCATAATACAAGTCAGAGCCTTATTGATTTTTTTTTTTTTAAACAACAGCAGCAAGCTTTATAAGCTGTTGTTAGAATTTATTTAATATTACTTTCTAGTATCAGCTGATGTTTGCTGGAGCCACAGCTGTAAAAACTGCTGGTCATGATATCGGTTTGGATATGTGGTGAGAGGGAAACATGAAGGTGATACAAATCATACATATATACCAACAAGACAGTGTACATCACTTTCACAACAGCGTTTGTTTTAATTCAAAGGCTTTATGGTTTTTCCTATAATACCTGGTGGTGTAGTCGGCAGATTTTTTTGTCAGTTCAGCCTTATAGACCAAAACAGCCAATCAGATTTTTTTGCATCCAAGTCTGTGATTGGCTGGTTTTGTGGCACAACTATAATGGTGTACAGAAAGAGTTGAATGTGCACGGGCAGAAATGTTGAGAGCACAAGCAACACATTGCAAGCCAGCACAAATGCAAAAACTGAGTGAGAGGGGGCTGTGTGTGTGTGTGGATAATAGTAAACACTGAAATACATTTTTTTGCACACAGCAATGAATTTTGTTCACTCAAATTTAGCTTTTCTTCGCTCAAAATAAATTTCCCCTCAAAATGCAACACTTGCACCTGCAATTTTACTCTTGTTAATGTCTAACGGCGGTAGTCAGTGTGGGAAAAGTTTTATTTTGATACCTATAAGAGGAAGTTGTACGCTCTCCGTCAGCGCATGCGCGAAGCTACATACTGAAGGCTAGCAGAAAATCCAAGCGACTGTTAGCTAAAGAAACTATTTGGTTTCCGTATTAAACACGGGGTGAAATGTTTCGGAGAAAACTGGGCGCTCTGGATTATCACAACCCCGACGGCTTTGACTGCACAGGTAAGAATAAACTTATGAAAGAGCAGTTCGGTTGGTCAGTTGAGTTGAACGTGGAGCCGGCTAACGTGTCTTGTCTGTATGGAGACAGAGAGCTGCCAGATTAATAACGTAGAACATGTATGTTCAGTATGAGACAAACGTGTATATTTATGAAAAAAAGCAATGTACAAGGTGCTTATGCTCGACACTTTTAATAATTTTAACTAGTTTTGACTATAGGTTGTTTGCATTTTACACGCAATAAACACACACTCGGGCTTCATTAGTAGGTAGGCTGCAGATACCAGTTTAGCACAGTCATACCAGTAAGTTCAAACGCTGGCTACTCCCTGGTGCCAAAGTAAATTGTTTGCGTCCTGTAGTGAGTGATTCAGCAGATATGGTCTTGGAACCTCAGTTTTATTTATTCACTCCTTCACTTACTTGCCATGTGTAGCTGCTGATGTGTTGTTATCGCTATTGTCTAATTTCTTCTCAGATGAGACACAGTTTAGGAACTGCATTGTGTGGCTGGAGGACCAGAAGATTCGACATTATAAAATCGAAGACCGAGGCAACCTGAGAAACATCCCCAGCTCAGAGTGGCCCAAAGCCTACCAAAAGGTAAGACTGCTGGATCATCTGAAAGTAATCACTGCTGTTATTAATGGGTATTACTAACATAACACTGCATTTCTGATATAATATGAGGAGCACGGTGAGTTGTGTTTGAGTTTTCTTTACCTGTGTGCAGTACCTACAGGATGTGAACTGTCCATTTGAAGTCGATGAGAGGAAGGAGGCTGTAGATTGGTTACTGGGCCTTGCTGTGCGGTATGAATATGGAGACAATGGTAAGGGGTTTCATTTGGGTCACATTTACTTGTATAGCGCAAGAATCCCTTAAAAAAAAGAAAAAGAAAAAAAAAAGACTCCTGGCAGAACCAGACTGGAGGGGACCACCATCAAGTGCAAAAGTGCAAGTAGCTACAGTAAGGGAGTTTTTCCTTCCTGCTGTTTTCCAAGTGTTCTCTTAAAGTTGGTCATGTGATTGTCGGGGTTTTCTCTCTGTATTATTGTAGAGTCTTTGCCTTATAATATAAAGTGCCTTGAGGTGTCTGTTGTTGTGATTTGGTGCTATATCAATAAAACTGAATTGAATGCAGTACGTAGAGAGCTGTGCTACAGAGCAGAGGTTTATTGGGGAAACCTGAGGGTTAACTTGGATTTACAGGTTTGCAGAGGGGGTTCACATCAACACGGTTGTGTGCCACACTCCTAATGGGACTTTTAGTAGGTTATGGTTAGGATAAGGGATAATGTACACAAAATTGCCACCTACTGGCCAGTCAGTTCCCTAGGGTTAGGGTTATGTTAGCCTGTGTCACTAGTTGAAATGCCACCGATGACCAGGAGATGGAGACATTACAAAAGGAATACTTTTTGCTAAGTGCCAGATCATATGTCTACTTTTACTGCAGAATAAGAAGAACAAATTGTTACTCTTCTACTCGTTACTGTGAGCTCCCCTGTTAATGTAGTGCAAGTCAGTCTGTTCATCGGTGACGTGTTTTGTGTGTCTCTTCACAGTGGAGAAGTACAAAAACTGTCAGCCCCTGGCAGCTTCCAGTAACAGCAATAAAGCCATGGACCCTCTGGTTAACCTCGACAGTAAGTAAAACTTGGATTTGAGCTTCCTCTGTCCTGGCATTCTTTCTTCTTTCCCTCCTTTAAATCTTTGCAGGATAAAAGTTAAAGTGTGTGTGTGTGTGTGTGTGTGTGTGTGTGTGTGTGTGTGTGTGTGTGTGTGTTTTTTTTTTATTTGTTTTGTTTTTTTTCAGGTAATTCTCCAGATTTCAAAGCAGGAGTAACAGCTTTGTCCAACATCCTCAAGATACAGCGGCATGACGACTACCTGGTTATGCTTAAGGTGAGCGCGCACTAAAGGGCTCTTTAATACTGTAGCAAAGCTTACCTGGGCACAGAGGAAGGCGAAGTTTGCGTTTGCTTCACAATAAAAGCCCTTAAAATGATTTAATGCTTTCCATGTGAGCCGGCAGCCCTGAGTCGTTCTTTTAATGCAGGGTAATGGTCAGACTGATAACACGGAGATAATAGTTGGCACTCAAAAAATGCAGAATAGAAATTTTGCACTCTCACTTGCCACTCGCAATAGAAAGTAATCCTGTTAACCATATTAAGGGAATGGTTTTTTTTTGTTTTTTAATGTAAGTCTTATGTATTAGAATGATCTCAAATCATTAAGAAGAGTTTTTCTTGTGTTTCTTTGCAACTGCCAGGCCATTCGTATTTTGATCCAAGAGAGACTTTCTCCAGAAGCCATTGCTAAAGCCAGCAACAATAGAGAGGTAAACTAAAGACACATGTGCATAATATGCATCAAAAATCATATGTCTGTGTATAGACTGCTGCAAGTCTAGAGCCATGATTTCAGCGGCGTTACTGACAAAACTCAACCAGCTATATTTTCTTTTTTCCTACAGGGTGTTCCAGTAGCTTTAGACAAGCACATCTTGGGTTTTGACACTGGAGGTGAGTTATTTATTTAAAGAATTTTTTCAGCAGAAAGGCTGAAAGCCGATGAGCAAATGCTATGACGATCGGTCTGCCCACAGTTCATAAGAATTGCTTCTCTTAAAGTATTGGTCAGCTTTTGGTAAAACTTCTGTCTTTTCTCCTCAGATGCAACTCTAAACGAAGCGGCTCAGATCCTGCGCCTGCTGCACATTGAGGAGCTGAGGGAGCTGCAAACCAAGATCAACGAGGCCATCGTAGCTGTTCAGGCCATCATAGCCGACCCCAAGACAGACCACCGGCTGGGCAAGGTTGGCAGATGAGAGCGAGGACGGTGACGGACCGCAAAGGGAGTGAGGGACTGAACCTGATTTGATTTTTGAGAGGAAAAACCTTTTGTTTGGTTAAAGGACATCAAAGAATTTTTGTTGATTTTTTTTTTTTCCGTTGTTGCATGAGATCGGACTGTTTAAATTGGGAATCTCATAAATAAAAGACCCAAGTGTTCATGTGTGGACAGCCTGGATAAGTTCTTAAAACTTAATAATGTATAAATAATAATAATAAAAAAAATGGTTTCCATTAATTATCCAGTAACAAAGTTTAAAGGTTCTGAAACTGCATCTTTTCTTCTGCAATATTCAGACTGACTGTTATATTTGTTTCTGGTGTTTCTGATGAAATATTCTTTGCAGATGGACAGAAATTGTTATTTTCAGGTGGGAGGGGAAAATATATAAATCCAGCTGCACACAGTTTGACTCCTGCACTTCTGTGGTGAATCAGACAAATGTTCAAAAAGCATCTCCCGTAACAAGTCACATTTTATTTTATAAATATCACACCTTGTGAAAAAATTTAAAAGTAGAAGAAGAAAAAGTATTTGCTAAAAAAAATGTCATTTGTGTAAAATACAATTAGTAGTGCAGCTATATATAGTAGGGCTAATTGGATGGGGGAGGCTGGAGAAACATACTCCGATTATAGTAATCGGATTACAAAAACTGGTAAGCATACAACAGTATCAGTGACAAGGGTTACAACTATCATGATTCCTTGGCAGGTATCGATACATTTGGGGAAAAAGATGTTCTTACATTTTACTTTGCTGAAATAAAAGAATCAAGTCATCTTTAATCTTTAGTGTTAGGTGCTGTATTTTATCCCTGCTTCCACTCGTTCAGTGATGGTAAACCAGTCTTCTTCTGACTGTGGCTTTATGTTTAAGCATATACTGTATATAAAAGAAGAAAGTAGCCACTGTGACTTTACCCACTGAGGCTATGTCCCCATGTACCTGGGTATTTTTGAAAACGCAGATTTTTCTATGCGTTTGCACCTTTCGTCCACACGTAAACGACATTTCCGGTCACTAAAACAGAGATTTTTAAAAACTCAGTTTTTGCATTTACGTGTGGACGAGGAAAACTGAGAAAACACAGCATCAAAGGTGTGCGCCTTTTTTGACGTCACACTGTGCTCCACGTTATTGTTTCTGTGAAATAAATTTCTACAATGGTGGACTTAGACAAAATACTGTTACTGTTAATTTTACTGTTTAAATGCTTACATATATACACACAGTTTATGTCCCGCCACACATAGGACTCAGTTCTGCTTCTATGCGCCATCTTTGTTTACCCTTTCCCACCCAGGCTTCTAGGCTTCTGATTGGCCAATATTTCTACACGGTTAGGAATATATCGCCACCTATTGTTTTGGCATGTTCCTAGCAGCGTTGTCCTTCGTTTTTGCGTTTACGCGTGGACAGGATTTAAAAAAAAAAAAAAAACTGAAACGGAAAATCTCAGTTTTCAAAAATACCCGTGTACGTGTGGACGTAGCCTGAGTGAAATGCCAAGGTGTAAGACAGCATGGCATAGATCTCACTGAGAAACTAGGACTTTGCACGCTGAGAGTTTAATGTCTCAGAGCTCTTATTCTCTTAACTGTTATTTCTTACAGACGGTTTACAAGACAGTCCAAAAAGAAGGGGCCCGGTGGAGCAGTAGCCAGACAATGTCTCCTAATAACAGTCACCAACAACCAACTTCTAAAGTGTACCTAAAGTCTAACATCAATCAAGCATTTTCTGATGTAAATCTTTAACAGACATTAGCATAATGCTAGCATTTTATGGGCAGAACTAGCTTCAGTGTAACAAAGACATAAGTGTTGTTTTATTACAATTTGGACACATTATCAAACCACATAAAGTGCTGCGACACGAAGTGCGCAAAAGTCGCCAAAATCTGCTAACTCAGTTACCGCTGAGTTTCGAACCTGCTCTGTCATTAACATCAGCACAAAAAGCTGTGTGCTAGGAACTTCATGGCATGGGTTTCCATGGTTGAGCAACTCCTTTAAGTGTAATGTGTGGCAAGGACTTTTGTCCATATATCCAGTTTTTTCTTAGTCTGTGTATTTAGCTCACAGATGTGAGTGCAGTATTATTCCCAAAAAGTATTCCCCAAAAAGCCAGACTGCACCTTTAATGTGCAGTTGTTCTTGTTGTTAACCAGAGACCACTATGAGTGCATCTGTAACTTCTCAACTTAATGGCCAATGTTATTTGTTGATATATTAAAAAAAAACCCAACAGCTTGATGTTAGTTTTCCCAAAAGGAAAAGCTTCAAATTATTCTTCTTTGGCTTTAAAGTACAATTAAACCCCCAAAAACTACAACCATGCATTTTAACATCGGATTTCATTGTTCTGCACCTTTATTCAACAGAAAAACAAAAATCTCAAGCAATACAAAAATACAGTAGAAAAAAACTAAAAATGAGGTATAAAACAAATTTACAAATCATTTACTTTGGGTTACATTAAGGTGAGATACTGGGGTTGAAGTGGGTGTAAATTTGCTCTGATTGCTGATCTGGCTGTCGTAAGCCATCTTTGCTCCCTGCTGAGTGTCCTTCTTCCAGAGGGACACCAGAGGGCCTGGACCTGCCTTATGTCCATGAATCGCCTCAGAACTTTAGCACCAAAGCACACTGCGGGTGCAGGCTGTCGTTAGTGGCTCCCTGTGACACACACACACAAAGATAAAAGCTCATCACTTTGAATCATCATCCCATAGTGGAAGTACTTTAAGGATAAGTTAAAATGAGAGGTTAAAGGTTTCATTTTCTGTGTGAATCCAAATGTGACAGGATGAAAACTTGGGCGCTGCAGTGCTCTAATGACAGAACAAACAGTCGTGCACTTTGTAACTGGAAGCAACTGAGAATTATCTCTGTAAAGAATGTGTGTATATTTATGTATTGCACAATAAGAGCTTTTAAGCCTCTCGCAAGCTCCTCCCAAAACTTCAGGATCTGTGTTTTAGACCTGTCATCATGGCAACAATTACACCACACATCGTCATCTTTAAAGCTAGCGACTATAATCTAGTCTGACTGTTGAAGGATGTGACTTTTACAGCAACACACACCAGTGATAGTGTTCCTTCCGACTGTTTTCAAAGGCAGATGCATTGTGACGAGATTATGTACTCTGCAGATGTGTGTAGCTTTAATGGTGACATTTGCCAAAGTGCTACTTTAGGGATTATCCTGTGTACTTTGTACTTTAACGTGAGGCTTTGAAAGGACTCGAAGCCATCTGCAGACAACACATCAAACATGATGTGTGCAAAAAAACAGGTAGAGGGTCGCACACAGCTGTGTAATCTTTGTTCTCTCACACACGCAGGTCACAAATAGAGGGTCACAGACAGCTGTGCAATCTTTGTTCCTGTCTATTTCATGGGTGTATGTGAAGTCACCCCTCAGACACATATACCGGTATCTGCAGAGTGGTAGGTGTTAGCCAGCTGTGTGATGATCAAACACGAGCTGTGATTACTTCCAACAACAAAGACTGCCCAAAGAAACCAGTTTGATTAACCTTTATCAGTAACATGGATTTCTGAAAAAATTAAAACGTACAGCTCTGCTATCACTTCCAACATAAATGATGGCAGGAAACTAAACAGTAGTGACGTTTGTAGGGTCACAGAAGTTGGACTAGCTGGTATATAATGAAGTGCTGCGTGGTGGCTAGCTACACAGCTATGGTTAGCATAACATAGCAAACACAGTGAAGCTGGAGGATGAACGCTAACTTTTTTTCCACTTGAGAAAAGTTAACATGAGGGTTCCTGATGGTTAGGGACAAATGCAATCCCATGGCAGGATCCTGTAAATGGACCAAACTTCAGTCAGGAGAACAACTGAGATAATCCATCCACAATACGAGGTTAGTTATTAATATACTGCTGCATGGGCTGGGCTGTAGTTACATCGTAAGGTTTTAAAAACTGAGCACAGTAGCTGCATGTCCTGGTTAGAGAGAACAATAATGGGTGATAACGATTCTTAAGGATAGCAACAGATGGCAGAAAGATACCCTACTCAGAAATGTTTCTGATGAACTGAGAGAAATGTAAATCTCACACAAGTAACACCATTCATTTCAGAGGAACTGTAATCAGTGGATATGCAGCCTGCACAACATGTTGCTGAAGGCATCTAGTTTCATTTCATTCATACTGTCAAATGTCATGTTTTTCAAAGGATCTGTGAGATTATAGGAAAGTGCAGTGCAGGAAAAGCAAAGTTGGTACACAAACTAATGAGTTCACTGTCTGCAACTCCTTTAAGTTAGAGTGTGTGCATAATACAGTTAGTTTTCCTTCAGTTTAGCCCTGTGACAGACTGGCAGCCTATCCAGGGTATATCCGGCGTTTCACCCAATGACAGCTGGGATAGGCTCCAGCTCTGCCCCCTGCCATAACTCTTAACTGGACAAGTGGTTAAGAAAATGGATGGATGGGTGGATGTTCCTTCAAACTTGAAAGACGGACTCTGATTACACAATATATCTCACCTGGTAGGCAGTGGGTCGTTGCTACGGTGATGCCATACAAATGAGAGCGCTGCTCAGGCAAGTACTCATCAGTGAACAGACTTCTGTGTTTGTTCACTGCAATCACACCATCCCTGTGAGTAACAGGTTAGAGAGGAATGATATCAGCGATATACACATATCAACTTATTGAACTGTAACCACCACTGTGATCTGAGTAGAAGGAGATGAATGAAGACTACCTCCGCCAGTCAGTGTAATAGAAGTGGTTCCTGTAGTAGACCATGCTGAATGGGTAGTTGAGGTTGGCGTGGATTACTCTTCGACCTGAACCATCTGAGGATATACACTCTAGACGCTTTGTACCTGACAGACACAGGAAGACAGCATGGCTCATTACAACATCAAGAAAATATAGGTTAGGTAAATTCTAGAGTATTAACTTTTAACTGAAGAGTTTTCAACTATCTCAATAAGCAAGATATGACAGTATATAGTCTGAGAGGCAGCTGTACACTGTTTACAGATGTCTTAAAACCCTGGGACAATAAATAAGGGACCAATTCACATGAATGCAGCATCAGCATAGAGGCCATGTTTACCTGCGTCAGCCCAGCAGATCTGTTCAGTAGCAGAGTCATATGTTAGAGCATTTGGCAAACCAATCCCATCAGACACTATCACCTGGCGGTTTTGACCATCCACTGATGAGCTCTCGATCTTAGGGGCCTCTCTGTTCCAGTCTGTCCAATACAGAGTACTGCAGGGAGACACAGGAGGGGAAAACTTATTACTCTTACTCTGATTGTTCCTTTACTCTTTTCTCCATAAAGACAACATTTGATAACCTCCCCCGAAACCATGATGGTGATTTTTTTACACCTCAGAATATATTAATAAAGATGTGATTTGACGACCGTTAGAATAGTGTCCAGGTTTTTCCAACAGGTAGCTGCATATGCAGAAACCATCCTCATTAATATCTGATGCAAACCCAGTCATTTCCTTCTTAAGCAGGCCTGGAATATGACAGAAACTACTCTGTTGAGAAAAGAAATTCAAGCATTTCTTCTAGTGAGCTTTCAGGGACTAAAAGAGTTAAAAGGGACCTACTTGTGGGAGTCAAGCAAAACTACTCTAGAGTCCAACATTAAAAATATGGAGCTGGACATGAGCAGAATGAACCCCTTTCCACACCCTTCCATCTGGATTGTTGACTACAGTCATTTTGCATTGATTTGAGGTCAAGGTCAGGCTTATCTTTTTAGTTTCTGGTCATGCTTTATCTGTGTACATAGAGAACGTGGACCACACTGCCTCACACATGCAGGCATATTTATCAGTGTTTTCATATTTCCTGTTTAATGAAGATTTAAATACTATTTTAAACAGTGCACTGTGTGTGGGCTGCTTACGTGCTGGCAGTCCTCTGGGAACTACAGGTAATACACACCACATGAACGTTCAGCTTATACACACACACACACTTATGAATTTGGTGAAGGTGCAGGGCAGCAGATGTCTGACACATTCACACGTGTATATGCTTTTATAAAGCCTTTGCGTGTCATTTTGGTGTGTCTGCTTCGCTGAGTGTCGTGGTTAGAGATGAGAATATTCAGCGACCCTCCCCAATTCGGTCTATTCGCCTGTTATTGGTTAGGGTTAACTGCATGTGTTCACTTTACAGCCTAAGAAACCACAGAGGACATGCTTAATCATAAGTGCATAAGTGTGCTCGTATGGAACAGTAATTACTTTTCAAACCTGAGTTTTTGTCAGAACACACACACCCCATATATTTACCCCTAAGTCAGAAACTAAGCTGTAAAATCAATAATGTCAAGCAAACGTTTCAGGTTTTATGACCAGGGTTATTGCTGCTGTGTTTAATCATTTGTAACAACCACATTAACTAACACACACACACACACAAACATGCACGCGCATAACTGTTGATTATGTGATTAGTTGCTGTGATGAAGAGCAGATGTTATTCCTGGCGAGTTGGCCAATCAAGGCCTCTTGCTTTCATCCTATGAGCGTGTGTGTCCAGGATTAATGGCATCAGTAAATTCAGGACAGTCTTCTTGGCTCAGTTTGCTGCGACACACACAGCACTAAAAGTCACTTGTGATAGAATTAGCAAACATGTGTTACTAAAGACAGGCTCCACCTAAAAATCCCCATTGCCATTTTTTTTCTATGAGTGCCAGTCTCATAATGATGAAGTCATGTTTTGGTCACAGTCTAAATCTTAGAATCCAGACTCAACAACCCCCCTTACTGCCAAATAGCCTTAAAACAGAGTTTGCACTGTACTAATGAATTAGGTACAGGCCTCATTGAGTCATAGCTTGTTAAAGAACTAGTGTTTAATTTTCATTCTCGTAGTAACAGACTGAAAACCATCTGTGCCCTCTTCTTCCATAAAATCTCTGTGGATACAGTGAAGGCTATCTCAGCAGAGCACCTCCAGGTTGTTGCAAGACAGTGTGTGGGCTCTTGTTTGTTTCTTGTTCCATGTCTGCAAATCCAGATTATGTTAACATACTTTTCTTCATTTCTAAGTAGAGCTTTTATGCCTTTCTGTATTTTTTTCCATATACATATGTTGTGATGTTGTTGAGGCTTCAGACTGCTCTAAACACTCAGCCAAGGCTATCCTTATTTGTATGGGAGAACTGAGTGGTAACCCTGCAAACATTTCAATGTTCAGTACATTTTATCCTATCTAGTCTGAAAAATACTTTCAAAATGAAAGCTGTGCAGACACTGAGATGTAAGTTTGCCATCAACTCGCTGTACTTCTTGAACATCACCTGCATGCCTCTGTTTGACTGCTCAACAATGGTATTCTGTGTTCAAGGCAGACTTCATATTATCCCTTCTTACAATTCTTCTAATTCTTCAAACTATGACAAAATAATTTAAGCAAAATATTCTTGATAGTGACATCGAAAAGCCCTAACCTTTTTTGTCATAATTCTGCAGCCAGTTTCAACCCGACAGATTAGATTGCATACGCATATCTCTTACCCAAGCTATGGCTAGCAATCTGTATCCATGAACATATGGTGGATGTTTTTTTTTTTTAATATATATCTTAAGAACAATTGGCTGCTTTTATTAGCAGGTGTGCTGACAGCAGATGTAGCTAGTAGCTGTTTGCTAGGTCCCTACTATTGGAATTATCTAACAACTTGCTATGTGGCACAGACTATCAAGAACTCTGTCAGCATTAGCTGACAACTCAACATTCAGTCATCTCATCCAAATGTGATTACGTCAGGGTCTTAAAAAAAACAACATAAGCACAGCCAAATTGCTAATGTTGAAGCTTTCGTATGGGGAATCCAGAACCCCGCGGAAGACGTCACTGTGACTCCATCTGTTCAAATCTGCTCTTTGTGAGAGGCAGTGGGCTTAAGGGAAGGAGAGCAGGAGTTAGAGGAAGAGACGGGTTGCTTCAGACAGTGCATCACATTGACGTCAACAGCAAGAAGGACAGTTTTTTTCAAATAACACTACGGATCTGGAAATTGGCATTTTGAAATTAGTGAAAGCAAAGAAAGATGAACAAATGGTTTTACCCGGTGGAAGAAACCACTATGATTGCACGGGGGTTCACCAAGTCTGTGTCAAACAGGGTCCTCCTCCCACTGCCGTCCAAGTTGGCTCTTTCAATCACATCAGGAGTAGAGTCAACCCAGAACATCAGCCGGCGTTTGACATCCACTGCCAAACCTTCTGGACTGACGAGATCTGCAGAAGCGAGAAGAACAGAGATCCAGACATCATAGAGGAGATATTGAAATCATTTAAGGCATTCCACAACAATCATTACAGGAACAAGCACCACACAACTGTGAAAGCTTACTTGTGTTAATGAGAACCTCAGGCTCAGCACCAGACACCATTGAAGCTCTGTTGATTGATCTCGCAGACAAATCTGTCCAATAGACTTGGTTTTCCTTGCAGTCATAGGCTATACCAACAACTATGGAACCCTGGAGACGCACACATAAATACAAGCTTCACAAGTGTTGACATACATCAGTTCACACAAGTGTACCTCAAAGATGAGAACTCACCTCCAACATTTTGGTCATGGTGTGAACCAACAACAAAACTCAAAGTTAGTTATAGATACTATGAACTATATGCTTTTCTTCTATTGTGGTCTCTCTTTCCCATCACCAAATTGGTCGAGACAGATAGCTGCCTCTCCCTAAGCCTGATCCTGCAAGAGGTCTCTTCCTGTTATAAAAGGAAGTTCTTCCTCCCCGCTGTCACCAAGTGCTTGCTTATTGGGGACTGCCTATTCCCTGGGGTTCTTTCTCTAATATTTTAGGTAGTTTTTCCTAAAGTATAAAGTGCCCTGAGAGGACTAGAAATAACTAAACAAAATAACTAAAACACCATATTTATATATCTGACAAATTTAAAACTTTCTACCCAAATATGTAATACTTTATATTTATATACATAATATTTATTATACTAGTCAGATATTTTCTATAATCAAGGTGCCGGGTATTTACAATGACATACAATTTGAAATACACGATGTGAAGTCAGTTTTTACTTATAATTCTAAGACATAATTCTGCTTAAGACATAATGCTGACAGTTTTTTTTCTTTCTTTCTTTTAAGTAGCAAACAAATTTATTACAAAAATTAACAAAGATTAAAAAAATAATTTTATAGAGTATGTGATCTACCCATTAATTTCTTACATGTAGAGCCAATAGTGTTTTGGATCGGCTTTCGTCTAGTCTGGTCCCGTTGAGAGGCAGCGCTCCTATTTTCTGGCCCTGAGCGTACAGCAGTGTGATGCCAGTGTTTATGGGAGGGGTGACATCTGGACGGGATGTTGGACGCACCGTAGGCGGTGGCACTGACGAGATGCCTGGGATGTAATTGGATGGATAAAAATGTTTGAGTCACAATTAGTGAAAGACAAAACTTATATAATACAGTACAATGACATATATCTTTGACGATTATTGCTTACATGCAGGTTTGACAGCATCATCTGATTTGGTTCCGGGAACCATGCGTCCATTCTGGTCCACACACCAACAGTAGTTGGTCTCCCCGTAACACTGGACTGGACTGGGATGGTGCAGGCAAACGGAAAAATCAGAAGACTTTTAAACAGCAATGCAATTATTTTTTCCTTGAGAACTTCCTTTGATGACTGCATATCTGCTGCTTACCTGAACTCTCCATCTGGCTCACACTGAGGTACATACTGCTGTGGGCCAGGTTTCCCACCATAGTGCTCAATCAAACTGGCTCTCCATCGCTCACACATGCTCTCAGGGCGTTCTGTTGGAGTCACTGCAACTAAGGGGAAGCCAAAAACCCCAAAACAACCCATCAGTACTTCCATTCATAAAGCTAAAGATAAATTACAAGTCAGATGATATTCTTCTGTAGTTCATCATTATTTATTCAATTGTATTCTCAGGATGTTCCCTACTTTGCTGAGTTTATACTACAGTGTTAGTTGGAAGCTAATGGTGAGGGGATGCTTCGTGTTTAAAGAGGCACACATATACACACATCGTACTTTTGTCAGAAATGTTTACCGCGTTCAAATCCCTTTAATGACTCGCTTTATTGGAGAGCATTAAAACTAAACCTCAGAGCATTTCTGGCTTCTACTTGTGTTTACGCTAGCCTCGCTCTCTCAGTGTCAATTTTGAATGTGAGACTTTGCTGTTTGTAGACTGAGAAGGAGAGGAGGACACAATTTGAAAGGGAACAGTTCTCTATTGCGAGATAAAGACAAACCAAAATATTAATGCAGTTAGCTTTTCCAGAAGTGTTTATTATAGTGGCAGTTAGCATGTTGCAATTTAGTCTTCTGGATCACTTGGTTTTGCTTCTATTTAATGTTCAGACTACCCACTAAATATGGTGGTTTGGAAAAGAGCAACAACTGGATGATCCATCAGTTCCATCTGCAGACTGGCAAACTACAGTGGGGCAAAAAAGTATTTAGTCAGCCACCGATTGTGCAAGTTCCCCCACCTAAAATGATGACAGAGGTCAGTAATTTGCACCAGAGGTACACTTCAACTGTGAGAGACAGAATGTGAAAAAAAAATCCATGAATTCACATGGTAGGATTTGTAAAGAATTTATTCGTAAATTAGGGTGGAAAATAAGTATTTGGTCACCTCAAACAAGGAAAATCTCTGGCTCTCACAGACCTGTAACGTCTTTTTCTGTCCCCCACTCGTTACCTGTATGAATGGCACCTGTTTGAACTCATCATCTGTATAAAAGACACCTGTCCACAGCCTCAAACAGTCAGACTCCAAACTCCGCCATGGCCAAGACCAAAGAGCTTTGGAAGGACACCAGGTAAAGTATTGTATACCTGCACCAGACTGGGAAGAGTGAATCTACAATAGGCAAGCAGCTTGGTGTGAAAAAATCAACTGTGGGAGCAATCATCAGAAAATGGAAGACATACAAGACCACTGATAATCTCCCTCGATCTGGGGCTCCACGCAAGATCTCATCCCGTGGGGTCAAAATTATCATGAGAACGGTGAGCAAAGATCCCAGAACCACACGGGGGGACCTGGTGAATGACCTGCAGAGAGCTGGGACCAAAGTAACAAAGGTCACCATCAGTAACACACTACAACGGCAGGGAATCAAATCCCGCAGTGCCAGACGTGTTCCGCTGCTGAAGCCAGTGCATGTCCAGGCCCGTCTGAAGTTTGCCAGAGAGCACATGGATGATACAGCAGAGGATTGGGAGAATGTCATGTGGTCAGATGAAACCAAAGTAGAACTTTTTGGTATAAACTCAACTCGTCGTGTTTGGAGGAAGAAGAATACTGAGTTGCATCCCAAGAACACCATACCTACTGTGAAGCATGGGGGTGGAAACATCATGCTATGGGGCTGTTTTTCTGCCAAGGGGACAGGACGACTGATCCGTGTTAAGGACAGAATGAATGGGGCCATGTATCGTGAGATTTTGAGCCAAAACCTCCTTCCATCAGTGAGAACTTTGAAGATGAAACGAGGCTGGGTCTTCCAACATGACAATGATCCAAAACACACCGCCCGGGCAACAAAGGAGTGGCTCAGTAAGAAGCATTTGAAAGTCCTGGAGTGGCCTAGCCAGTCTCCAGACCTCAACCCCATAGAAAATCTGTGGCGGGAGTTGAAAGTCCGTGTTGCTCGGCGACAGCCCCAAAACATCACTGCTCTCGAGAAGATCTGCATGAGGAATGGGCCAAAATACCAGCTACTGTGTGTGCAAACCTGGTAAAGACCTATAGTAGACGTTTGACCTCTGTTATTGCCAACAAAGGTTATGTTACAAAGTATTGAGTTGTATTTTTGTTATTGACCAAATACTTATTTTCCACCCTGATTTACGAATAAATTCTTTACAAATCCTACCATGTGGATTCATGGATTTTTTTTTTCACATTCTGTCTCTCACAGTTGAAGTGTACCTCTGGTGCAAATTACTGACCTCTGTCATCATTTTAGGTGGGGGAACTTGCACAATCGGTGGCTGACTAAATACTTTTTTGCCCCACTGTAGGATGGCAATTATTATGAGTTATGTGGGAGCAGATAAAAGCAGATAGAAAAAAAAGTCTACAATTGAATTTGAACAAAAGAAATTTGTCAGTATGACTAAATCAGACAAATTGCCTGTGTGGGTCAGATATCTTCAGATCCTGAACCAAATGTGAGTGAGAAATGTTGTCATTATGAAATAATAAACCTCGTTTGCAGTTCATAGACTATATATTAAAGATGTACTTGTTTTGCAGCTACAACTTAGGCATTTTGTCTGTTGCATTCTTGGTGATTTAAAACTGGTTGTGAGAGGTGAGGGGGCTGGGGGTGAAGAAGTCTCACCTGGTCTGTCACAGTCTACAGGTGCTGCACCAGGTGGAGTCCTGGTTCCTGCTCTCTCCTCTCCTCTACTGTCCACACACCAACAATAACCAGTGGAGCCATGGCACTGAAATAAAGATGAGAAATACATTCCATTTTGGGGAATTCTGACCTTTATTTGATAAACAGTGAAGAGTTTTCAGACATGAAAGAAGGGAGGAACAGTGTTGGAAACCACGCAGCAAAGCTCCCTGAGTGAGAGTCGAACATAGACTGCTGTGTTGAGCTTTTCAGCATAAAGTTGCCTGCTCAACCACGTGAGCTAAACTAACACCAATAAAAAGGGTCTTAAGAAGAACAAAAAGAAATCACTGATAAAAGCCAAAGAAGAAACTGTAGTTATTCACTAAATAAATAAATAAAAAGTCAGAGTTTCACCTGCTGAGGTAGATACTGTCCTTCTGCATCACACTGTGGTTTGTAGACTCCAGTTATGGGATATCCATCAGCACTGGTGGTCTTTACGCTGTCTCTGTGGTGCTCACAGTGAGTTTTAAGATGCTCTGGTTGAACTGAATGAGAAAAAAGAAAAAAGGAAATTGATGCTTTGTTGTGCCAACAGGAAATAAATCTGAATAAAAACAATCTGAATGAAGTATGGGCCACTGGAATACCAACAGCACCCAGAGAGAACAACTGCTCCTGAAAGAAAAGGACTCCACTAAAACTTTAATATTTGTGGACGCTATTATTACTGCGTGTCACCCCTCCCAGGGTATGGGCCTCCAAAGGTACTGTAGATCTCCAGAGATTTCTGTCCTGGGCCATTATTTCTAGTTGGGTCCAGGTGTAGCCAATCTTTTTTGCTTCTGCCTCAAGGTCCTGTCGTCAGGTGTTTCTTGGGCGGCCTCTCTTTCACTTGCCTTGGGGATTCCACCTGAGAGCCTGCCTGGTGATGTTGGTTGGTATTTTGCATAAAGCGTGCCCTGCCAAGCACTAGGGCTGGGCCATATTATACCGTTCACGGTAATACTGGTATAATGTTAGGCAACGATAAGAATATAAAATATCGCGATAGAATATGGGTAAAACACGCATGCGCAGTGCCTTTGTTTTCATACGCACATGGCCGAAAAAGCATGGCGGCAACGGAGAATGAGAAGGGGGAAAGCGGATCGTTGACTGAAACGGATGAACCAGAATTGGTTTGTAAAAATGGTGCACCTTCAGTGGTGTGGAACTGGTTTGGTGTTTGTCCGTAAGATACCCACCAAAGCACTATTTTTTGTAGAACATGCAAAGCGGGCCGTCGTTATTGCCGTATTTGTCGGACTAAGGTGCTCGTAAATCTGGGAGCAATCTGGGTCCAAAACTCCGTCCGCTTCAGGTCCCAAAGTCAAACGAACACTGCGGCACATTGAGAGTTAAAAACTGTCGAAATTATTTCACCTTTAATAAAATGATCAGCATTGCTGCTTTACCAGGTGTAACAATTAAGTTTAACATCCAGGCATCCATGAAAACAGAATTTATTACATTTAACGGAGTTAGAAGTTAGCAGGAAGTTTGAGGAAGTTAGGTAGCTAGCGAAACTAGCGAGCTAAGCATGATATAGCATGTTCTGACTGAGAGATTTCTGAAAAAATTTAAACGTACAGCTCTGCTATAACTTCCAACATAAATGAAGACAGGAAACTAAACAGCAGCGATGTTTGTAGGGTTACTGAAGTTGGGCTAGCTGGTATATAATGATACGCTACGCTAGCAACACAGCTATGTTAGCATAACATAAACAGTGAAGCTGGAGGATGAATGCTAACACTTTTCCACTCGATAAAAGTTAACGTGAGGGTTCCCGATGGTTAGAGACGAATGCAATCCCATGGCAGGATGCTGTAAACGGACCAAACTTCAGTCAGGAGAACAACTGAGATAATCCATCCACAATACGAGGTTAGTCATTAATATACTGCAACAACATGGGAATAGAGCAGCTGTGATAGAATACAGCATTAACGAATCAATGGTACAGAAGTGGAGGAAGCAAGAAGAATGAGTTGAATAAAGTTTGATTTATTTGACCGCTTTGTTTTGCTTAATGTGCCTTATAAACCCGTGCACCTTATGGTCCGAAGAATACGTATTTGACTTTTTTATTTGGCACACTGCAGTTTAATGTTGCAAAGCACCTCTTTTTAAACCTTTGTGGTGTCCTCGGGATTCCCATATGCTTGTTTGCCATTCACCTAGGGACCATTTGTGATCTGAGGATACCACATTACCTTTAGTGGACATTATACATGGTTATGCTCAGGATATGTCCGCCCATTTCTACTCGAAATGCCCTTTGGTTAAACTTTCAGCAAGGAATTTGCATTTGCACTGTTAAATTTTTATATAGCTTTAATTCACATAAAAAACAGCTGCTTGTTTAAGTGAAAATAAATGGATGGGTTTTTTGCGCTAGTAAAGTTGTGGAATTGTATTTTGTATTTTTGTCTCGCATCAATTATATCGTCAGTTATATCATTATCGCAAATTTTCAAGTATATATCGTGATAAATATTTTTGGCCATATCGCCCTGCTCTACTCGGCACCATCTTCTCTGCCTGATTTCTTCCTTAGCAGCGAGTTGACAGGTTATTTCCCGTAGTTTGATGTTACTGATTGTGTCTGGCCAGCGAATGTGGAGAATCCTTCTGAGACAGCTGTTGAGGAATGTCTGGATTTTTCTATTTGAGGTTTTATTTGTCTTCCAGGTTTCAGCCCCTTACAGCAGTACTGACTTCACGTTGGAGTTGAACAGTCGGATCTTGGTAGTCAGGGTCATCTCTCTGGATGCCCAAATGTTTTTGAGCTGGATGAAGGCGGCTCTTGCTTTTCCAATCCTTGTCTTGACATCTGCATCGGTTCCACCTAGTTAAGTAAAAGAGTGTATTTCCTCAGGGGACTTCCACTAAGGATGACTGGGTTGTTACTATAGGAGTTGATCCTAAGGATTTTGGTCTTCTCCTTGTTGATTGATGAGTCCAACCTGTGCTGATGTGGCTGCCAATATGCTGGTCTTTTCTTGGAGCTCCTCAAAGTGTTCAGACCATCTTTTCATCTGTTGCACTAGTTCTGTGATGGCCTTTCCCTCTTTGTCCTTGATGGGTCGTTCTGGCTTGCTGTACTTCCCACACAATTTCTTGATTATTGCGTAAAGGTGTTTCATGTTACCATTGTATGCTGCCTGTTCTGCTTCAGCTCCCATTCCATCTATATAGACATTCTTGTCTTTCCTAATGCTCTTTGTCACTGCTCTGTGGGCTTCTGCCTATTCTGCTTGGGCCTTGGCTTTGTCTGCCCTAGTCCTGCTGTTGTTTACTGCCACCTTCTTGTGTTTTCTCTCTTCTATCTTGCCCAAGGTCTCAGCTGTGATCCATTCTTTATGATGCTATTTCTTTATTCCGACCACTTCTTCACTGATTGTTCTCAGTGTCTTCTTTATGGTCTGCCAATTGGCCTGTATGCTGCTTTTCTCCTCTCCCTGGTGCAGCTAATTAAGCACCTTGATCTTGCTCTTGAACCGAACTCCTCCCTTTATCTTTACTCGACTGACATCATTCTTCGCTCTACGCCGTGTTGTTTTTGTCCAGTTCTTCTTTAACTTCAGCTGCATGTTGGCTACTACAAGATGGTGGTCAGATGCCACATCTGCTCCTCTTCTCACCCTAACACCCTGGAGAAAACTTCTAAACTTCTTGCTAATGCTGATGTGGTCAGTCTGGTTCTCTGTCACACTGTCCAGTGATACCCAGGTTCTTTTGTGGATCCACTTGTGCGGAAAAATGCTACCTCCGATGACCAGGTTGTTGAATGCACACAAATCAACTAATCTCTGCCCATTATCATTCATCACTCCCAGCCCATGTATCCCTATGATTTGTTCATATCCTGTGTTGTCAAACCCAATCTTGGGTTCACATTAAAATCTCCCATAAGGATAATGATGTCTCTGGTTCGGAACGCTAGATTGCTAACAAACAGACAGACAGAAAACCAAACAAATGGAACTGATTACATAAATCTTTGGGGGGGAACAGTCTCACCTGGTCTGTCACAGTCTACAGGTGCTGCACCAGGTGGAGTCCTGGTTCCTGCTCTCTCCTCTCCTCTACTGTCCACACACCAACAATAACCAGTGGAGCCATGGCACTGAAATAAAGATGAGAAATACATTCCATTTTGGGGAATTCTGACCTTTATTTGATAAACAGTGAAGAGTTTTCAGACATGAAAGAAGGGAGGAACAGTGGTGGAAACCACGCAGCAAAGCTCCCTGAGTGAGAGTCGAACATAGACTGCTGTGTTGAGCTTTTCAGCATAAAGTTGCCTGCTCAACCACGTGAGCTAAACTAACACCAATAAAAAGGGTCTTAAGAAGAACAAAAAGAAATCACTGATAAAAGCCAAAGAAGAAACTGTAGTTATTCACTAAATAAATAAAAAGTCAGAGTTTCACCTGCTGAGGTAGATACTGTCCTTCTGCATCACACTGTGGTTTGTAGACTCCAGTTATAGGATATCCATCAGCACTGGTGGTCTTTACGCTGTCTCTGTGGTGCTCACAGTGAGTTTTAGCACGCTCCGGTAGACCTGAAGGCAAAAATAAAAATAATCACATATAAGCTGTGCTGTGTCAACATGAAATCAACCTGCGTAAAACAATCTGAATGAAGAAGTCTCACCTGGTCTGTCACAGTCTACAGGTGCTGCACCAGGTGGAGTCCTGGTTCCTGCTCTCTCCTCTCCTCTACTGTCCACACACCAACAATAGCCAGTGGAGCCATGGCACTGAAATAAAGATGAGAAATACATTCCACTTTGGGGCATTTTGAACTTTATTTGATAAACAGTGAAGAGTTTTCAGACATGAAAGAAGGGAGGAACAGTGGCAGAAGAAACTGTAGTTATTCACTAAATAAATAAATAAAAAGTCACAGTTTCACCTGCTGAGATAGATACTGTCCTTCTGCATCACACTGTGGTACATAGGCTCCAACTATAGGATATCCATCAGCACTGGTGGTCTTTACGCTGTCTCTGTGGTGCTCACAGTGAGTTTTAACATGCTCTGGTTGATCTGAAAGAGAAACAAAGCACATCTAAACCTTCCTGTGTCAACTCCAAATAAACCTGTAAAATACTGGTGGCCGCCAGTACTACCCCTCAGCTTCATAGTAGCTGCACCTGCATGCATCAATGTCAAAATCCTTGTTCACAAATAAGAGTTTTAGAAAACTTGACCTCTGACCTTTAGGTCAAGGTCACTGAGATTTGAACTCATCTGAGATTTTTATTAGATACACCTGTGGTACCAATCTGAAAATCCCATGTCGCCTTATTCTCGAGTTATTGCAGGGTGACAACAATACCCCACAACTTTTTAGGGCTGAGGGGTAATAAAACTAATCTGAATGAAGTACAGGACACTAGAATAAGAGTCTCACCTGTTCTGTCACAGTCTACAGGTGCTGCACCAGGTGGAGTCCTGGTTCCTGCTCTCTCCTCTCCTCTACTGTCCACACACCAACAATAACCAGTGGAGCCATGGCACTGAAATAAAGATGAGAAACACATTATTTAGAAGAACAAAATTAAGTTTTAGATGAAAGCCCAAAGCCAAACTGTACTAATTGGAGTTTCACCTGCTGAGGTAGATACTGTCCTTCTGCATCACACTGTGGTTTGTAGACTCCAGTTATAGGATATCCATCAGCACTGGTGGTCTTTACGCTGTCTCTGTGGTGCTCACAGCGAGTTTTAAGACGCTCCGGTCGATCTGAATGAGAAAAAAACACAAAGACAGAAAATTTAGGAAAAACAACACACAAACCAGAAAAAAGCATAAATTCATGAGTTGCAAGAGACAGTCTGTCAACATCAGAAGTTTCTGACTGGCAAAGACACCTGTTTGGAAAGTCAAGGGTAAACAGTTCAATTCCACCTGAAATCACAAAGCCCCTCTGGGGTTAAGGCACAAAGAGCTTCTAGTGTAAAGCTATGAACCATATCAAAACCCCTTGTCAGCAGGGACATATATTAGCCCTCGACACAACCCCTTCATGGTTAAAATCAGACTGAATTGGAGTCTTTGCCTTTAAACCAAAGGCATCTTTTGCAAAGGCACTGGTTGACTAGATTTAGCCCAGAATACAATATCCATGGAGTGCTACTGACCTTCCTGCTGAGAGCAGTAGAAACCATTCCCAAAAAACCCCAGCTGACACTGACACTGGAAAGATCCCAGTCCATTAATACATCTGGCATTGATGTGACATGGAGAAGAGCTGCACTCATCTATATCTGAAAAAAAGAAAAAAACAGAAGGAGAGAAAGGAGTCAAAAACCACAACTGGACTGGAAACTGCACTACCAATACAACTAAACACTCACACAAAAAATACTACCTGGCTGCTTAATAGATGTTATTTATTTCAGTGGTGATTTATCAGTAGTGTGATTATCTAAATGTAAAGTATTATACTTAGTTTTATTTTTTATTTTTTTGGGGGGGCTCAAAGAAAGTTCATCAAAAGTTCACACTTTTACGTGAAAGGAGGACATGTATGCGTGCACACATTCACAGACAGACACACAAACACACACACAGCCAGGACCTTGCTCCTCCACACATTCCAAAGCAACAAACACATTGTGCCATTGCTCCATTTGTCTTTCCCTTAACCCCCACCCGCCCTGTTTAATCTCACCCTGTCGTTCTCACATTAGTTCTGTTCTCACATTTCTCATCTATCCTCCCCTCTGCCTGTGTTTTCTAGCTTTTTGCAGCTGTGGATGAAGAAATGTTGTAGCTCTGCTTGGACAAACAAGTGAACCTTTTCCAAATATTCAACTCATTTTGGAACTTGGAGGACAAAATGCTCCGAGAATACTTCTCAGGGGGACAGTTAGTCCAGCTGACAATGGATAAAATGCAACAAAGGCAGAATGGAAGAATGATGTGTTTGCCACAAAAAATATGTGTGCACATATTTGGTTAAAATTTTCATTTGCATCAAAGGTACGGTATGTGAAAGCAGACAGGATGCCACAGCTTAAAAAGTCAGCAGAAACCAGCACATTTCTAAGCAGAGATTGATCAAACTGACACGGTGTTATGGCTTTCAGTTGATTTCTTTGCACACAGGGGATATTCTTAAGTGGGATTTCTGAAATGCTAAACATTCGGTTTAGTTGAAATTAACTGTCTGTTTGCTGAAGCTAATCATCAGCCCTCCACCACCGTCATCATCATCATCAACCGAGGGACTGGATCCTCTCTAGAGAAGCAACTGAATAACACCGAGCGCCACAACACCAGTCACCTGGCTAGCCAGCTGACAAATAGTGAAAATTTTCAAAATAAGAGCTCATAAGAAAGGGTTTTCCAACAATAAACTGATGATAGATGATGCAACACATGTCAGTTCTTATGCAGAACAACTGAAAATGTTCACACTTGTTGCTGATGATGTGATTAAACTGATAGGAGGCAGTTCAGAATGTGCAGGCTGCAAGTGTCGCAAGGAAGTTGATATCAGCCCTTAACGTAAACAATCTGGGAGACAAAAGACGAAGAATTCATGCAAGAGATAGCAAAAGAGGTGGACGAGAAGTAAAAGAACATAGAAAAGAAGCACAACATTTTTGGCTTCTAATGAAATTATTGGATACAGTTCCATTGATTGATGTCAAGTCATTCATGTTTCCCTCAGAGCGACCCGTAATAACTGATGAGATCTACTGACTTTGCAAAAAAATTTCCTCTCACATTTTATACAGATGTTTTGTGCATTTCTTGAAGGAATTTCCAAACTCACCAACACAGGTACGCCCATCGTAGCCAAATTCGTAGCCCCTCTGGCAGTGACAGCGGTGACTCCCAGGCAGGTTCACACACTCAGAATTATCCCCACATGTGCCCAAACCCTCAGCGCACTCATCTATGTCTGCAGAGAGGGAGACAAAGAAATTAGCTTTTCTTTAAATTTACAAGTCTGTAAATCAGGAATTCCTTGTCAACACATGTAAAAGCTGTAATTAGGGCTCATTACTGGTGCTTTTACTGTATAAAAAGAAAAAGCAAGGTTTCATAGGACTCTGTGCAGTCTAGTAGTACACCCTTAACAGCTTCTAAAGAATTAAGAGGGTAAATAACAGGCAGGTGCTTCCCTTGATTAAGCGATCATCACCAAGTTTGAGCACCTCTAGAAAAGCAGGGGTTTTGGCAGTTTGCTGTTCTGACACATCCAGGTGTGTGCTAACACGATGCCACAATCTTCCAAGAAGCAAATGTCTAAGGTCAGTACAACTGACGAGCTACAACTCAGACTCTACAGACCTCAGTTAGCATGTTAAATATTAAAGGTTGGTGGAGGAGTGATGATTCAGGGTTAATTTGCAGGACCTGGGGACTTTGTAGCCATTAAGTCGACCAGGATCTTCTCTGCATACCAAAGTATTCTAGACAAATGTCAGGCCATCTGTCTTACAGCTGAAGCTTGGACATACATTGGCTATGCAAAAGGATAAGGATCTCAAGCGTGCCAACAAATCTAAAACAGAAATGCTGAAAAAGAAAAGAATCAAGGTGTTGCATCAAACCATTCGAAGTCCAGATCTTTACCCGATTAATATGTGTGGAGGGACATTAAGAGAACTGTGCATGAACGAATGCCTGCAAACTTCAATGACCTGAAGTGACACTGCAAAGAATAATGAGCCAAAACTCCTCCACAACAACGTGAAATAATGATAAGTCGTAAAGAAAACAATTACTTCAAGTTATTGCTGCTAAACTGAGAAATGGTGGCGAGTCTTGTGCACATTTTTTTTCCTCACATGAATGTAAAATGCATTGTGTAATACAACATGGAGATCATCTGAGCAGAAAGGCGCACTGAGGCCCATCCATGAGAATTTAGGATGAGCCTGGGGCTTTCTTTGCTGTCAGCAGCGAAAAAAAGACCTGCTGCTGGGCTAATGACAGACCACACACCAGCTTGAAGTCCTGAAGGCCCTTTTAACTTGAAAATTAACCTTGAAGAGACGAATGGAGAGGAAGGATGAAGAAAAGAAAAGAAAAGAAAAGAAAAGAAAAGAGTGATTACAGACGATTCTGCTCAACCAACCTGTACTTGACCCCTCTACACTGGCTGGACAGATGTTGATAAAACACAGAAACACTGTCTTGGACTTCGACATTTTGTATGCGACAGAAAACGCTAGACTAAACAAAGGCAGAGGAAGCACTCTGAAATGTACATAAACCATCTCATTGCTGCACAGTATATCCACAGAAGAATTCACTCTACGTGCTTGTTCACAGAAGGACCGACACAGACACAGATAGATACCGTAACAGTTGTGCCCATCTCCTGTATAACCAGTAGCACACTGGCACTGGAAAGCCAGGTCCTCTAACGGGATGCACTGGGCTGTGGTGTCACAGTCGTGGGTCCCGGCATAGCAAGGGTTGTGCAGCTCAGGGCCTGGAGCTTCCATTTCATGAGGGAAGAAAAAGAAAGGATTGTGTTTTTAATCACAGTGGTTGCAACTTAACAGTGACCGAGAGTGACAGTGAAAAATTACTCTAAGATTCCTAACAGTGCTGCTGGAGAGAGAGGATCCGTTTGGACACCAGGTGTCTATGATTTTTAGGGTCAAGTACAATAACTCAGTTTTGTCTGAATTTAGAAACAGGTCATCCAGATCTTTATGTCTTTTATTCATACCTACAGTCTAACTAGTTGGTATTTGTCATCTGGTTTCATGGATAGATAAGCTGGGTATCATCTGCATAGCAGAGAAAATGTATGCTATTCCTTCTAATAATACTGGCTAAGGATAGCATGTATAATGTAAATAGAATAGAATAATTAACCTTAGTGTGTGAAGAGGACTTCCCATTTACACAAATAAGTAAGCTTAAGTACTTTTTATATGCTAACTTTCATATAACTCCCTGTAACCAGTGTCTAATATAATTTCCTTATTTAATATAATATATATACTTCTGCCATGGTGGATTTTTCATGTTCAAAGTTTCATTTGAGGTCAGCCTTAAAAATAATTCAATATTTCTTCTATTTCAGACGTTATTTTGTCTTACACTGGCTCTGTATGATGACAAAGAGAGACCATATCCCTGTTATAGTCATCTCAGTCAAATTGTTTTGGCTATGGTTACAGAAGCCCCACCCACTTGCTGGTAAAACCTTCTGTTTAGGAGTAGCAGCCAATCAGATGAAAGATGGCCTAAAGAGCCAAAAGCAGGTAAAATGGCTTGTTTCAGGTAACCTGATGGAACTCATGCAAAGCTACTCTATTAGAAAAAATTGCTTGTGTACTGTCAGTAATGTCCATTTGATTTCATTTTCATTTTCTAGTCTTTCAAAGCACATTAAAAGTGGCACCTTCAACAAATGTTAAAAAAGAAAGAATTTAAAGAAGCAGACAATAACATTAACAGACATTAGAATCTGAAAATAAACTGCATTAGACATAAAAGAGCAACATTGTTAAAGCTGGTGTGAGAAAATTCAACCAGACAACCACACAAAATCTGCTACACACCAAATATCCTGAACTCAGATCAACTGAGGTCTGGATTATTTAGTGAAACTTCAGTGATTAGGGCAATGATTACAGGGCAAGTTAACCAAACACACATGTAAAATCACTCCAGACAAACTCCCACAGGACGGACTCCTCTTAGGAAGCAACTCCCTTCATGTTCTCTATGTTCAACATATGGACAAGCTTAGACGCATATGGGGGGGTAGACACATGGACAGAGGGATGAGTGAGCGGATGTGAGTTCAGGGTTTCTTCATACTGCTGCGTGGCTCAGACACACAATTTCAAAAACAAACCTCAGACGAATTTTGAGAAAATCGGAAATATAAACAAAAGAGCAAAGAAAACCATGGGGGAAAAAATAGAAATGTTAAAGATGAATACATATGCTTAAAGTTCAAATTTGCTGTGTACAGCAGGATACAGCAATGATCCTGTTATAAGAATGCTCCAACTCTTATTTTTTTGTATTATTATAACTTTAACATTAAGCAATATTATAGTGTCGTTAAAACAAGTCTCAGCATCTTTGATCGATAACTTTGGTCTCGTGTCATGTAAAAATATTATCTAATGTAAAATACCCCACACTGCTCAGGCATTCCTTCTACCCACACAATTTAAATATTGGCCCAAATATGGAATTTAGATTCGGCTCAAACACAAACCTTCAGTGTCTGCATGGTTTCGCTTTTATTTCAAGGACATCTATAGTTAGTCGGCTCCAGTTGGCTGGGATGTAAAATATTCTCAGTTATGCACATGAACACATCTGTTATAATATCTGTTTTTAATAATCTTAGAGTGTTTCATGCTGGACTTTTGCTTTACTGTCAGCTTCATCATATGCCATAAACAACAACACACTTGCACATAAACAAAAACAAACATACACACACGCAGCTTGTTTTCATCTCCTGAGGCCAGAGAGCAATTTTGGCTCATTATCAGAGAGAGAGAGAGAGAGAGAGAGAGAGAGAGAGAGAGAGACCCTGCAAAGTCTGAATGTGGCGGTAAAAAAGGGGAGATGAGAGGGTGAGATACACATGGACTGTAGAAAAGGCTGAGGGATAATTAAAGAGAGAGAGAATGGGAGAAGCACGCACGCACACACACACACACACACATCATCATCATCATCATCATCAAAGTGGTGAGTGCAGTTTCCCACCTGTTGCTTTTCAAAAATCTCCTCCACACACGCATAAACACGTAGACACAAACAAACTGGGTTTATGCACTGGACACTTAAAGTCCAGCAACACTAAATCATCTGAACGCACTGAAAGCTGGATTTAAGTGGTTTATCGGGCTAAAAAAAAAAAAAACCCGGCACAGCTAAGGAGAAAACTACCCAAATGAATCCATAGTGGTGTCAACAGTTAGCTAAAGTGAGGCTGCAAATAAAAAACTAACTGCAGGCATGGTGCTTAAAACATGGGGGCAATTAACATGTAGTTCTTTTAAAATATGCAGCTTTGGCTTTTGCACTACGGGGAATGTACAACAGGGGCCCGAGTCTCATTAACAGACTCAGACTCTTTAAAATGACGAGATGTTTGTTCAAAGCAAAATCCAGATAAGTAAGATAAATATGAATCACTTTAGGTCTAAAATGCTAAATTGGCCACAGGTGTGAATGCGGGAGTGAGTGTGAGTGCAAATGATTGTCTGTCTCTGTATGTTAGCCCTGCGACAGACTGGCGACCTGTCCAGGGTGTACCCCGCCTCTCGCCCCATGACAGCTGAGATAGGTTTCAGCGCCCCGCGCGACCCTGAAAAGGATAAGCGGAAGCGAATGGATGGATGAATCATTTTAGCGGCACCGTGGCACGGTGGGGTCTTTCTGTGCGGAGTTTACATGTTCTCCCCATGTTGCGTGGGTTCTCCCCAGTTGCTCCGGCTTCCTTCCACAGTCCAAAGACATGCAGTTAGTGGGGATAGGAAAACACTAAATTGCCTATGGGTGTGAATGTGAGTGCGAATGGTTGTCTTTGTCTATCTGTTAGCCCTGAGACAGACTGGTGACCTGTCCAGGATGTACCCTGCCTCTCACCCTAAGACAGCTGGGATAGGCTCCAGATGGATGAATAATTTCAAATATTTACTTCAAAACTATTTACTCCAATACTTTAAATAACAGGTGGCTACATTAGATTAAATTAAATCATTGAAAATAGGGGGCCCTCAATAAACTATACCACAACTAGTTAATTTGCAGTTTAATAAAGCGTATGACAGGTTTACCTGTCAGTTCAGCGTCTTTTCTTCCACAATTCTCATGACATCACTAGTCAGCTATTCTACCTGGCAACCCCCATTCAAGACACCCCCCACTCCACAGCACATATGTATGCGCTCTGTGTCACAGGCTCATACTTAACCCATGTTTACAAAATCCCTTATCCCCAAAAGCTCTTCCAGCTGTGGTCTGGGTGGATCATTGTGTGTGAGCATGTGCATGTGTGAGATATGTCATCATAACGTTTTTAATCAGCGTGCTGACGTCTCAATGACAGATTCCTGGTCTGAATCCAAAAACAAGGTGGTGGTGTCTGTCTCAAATTCTTTTTCAGACTTCTTTTTCCCGTCATCTTACAAGGTCACGTATCCAACTGTCACTATCTGCTTTTCAGCAGACAAAGTGGGTAAAGACAGCACAACTGCTGCATGTTGACAGAAAAAGAACACAACACATGTTCTGTCCTGTATTTATATATCTATGAACATTTTTTCTTCCATTATTTTAAGGAGAGCAGATGAAGGTAATGGACATAAAAATTAAAAACAACGCGGGAAAAATTGTTGAAAAACTTTTCATCTAATGTAACATAATTCATCTAAAAGGATCTTTTCTTTGGCTTAGCAAGCCACAAAGACCTCTGTGATTCTCAAAGTGCTTGATTTACCATTCACTTGGGTGCAGTAAAGCTTTAACAACGATAAAACTGTAAATAGAAAAGATAACATCAAATATGCCTGTCAACCACACACACTCCCCAAACACATTCAAATCCAACCCATACCTTGGATATCACTGGACCTAACTGCCTACAGTTACTATTCTGTGACCAACGCAGCGAAAAGTAGCTAGCAGCTAATTTCAGGTTTACCTTCTGTAGATCATTGATTATTGAATCATTAAATGATTGCCAAGCAATATTTGTTTATGAGACCTGCCGTAACTGTGGTCCAATAGCATGGTGGCAGGAGTTTTGTTTTTCCGGTACTGGCATTGTGTTTTAACGCTGGGGTACGCATTAAAGTTTTACAGCGGACTAACATCCAGAGTGATCATTGGCTTGTCGCATCACATGAGAATGCTACACCTTCTATTAGTAAAACTATATTAATGTCCATTCCATCCATCCATTCGCTTCCGCTTATCCTTTTCAGGGTCGCGGGGGGCGCTGTAGCCTATCCCAGCTGTCATAAGGCAAAAGGCGGGGTACACCCTGGACAGGTCGCCAGTTTGTCGCAGGGCTAACACATTGGGACAGACAACCATTCACACTCACATTCACACCTAGTGGCAATTTGGATTATCCAATTAACCTATCCCCACAAGCTGCATGTCTTTGGACGGTGGGAGGGAACCCACGCAAACACAGGGAGATCATTCAATTCATTTCATTTCATTTCAATTCAATTCATTTCAATTCAATTCAATTCAATTCAATTCAATTTATATAGAACCAAATCACAAAAACAGTTGCCTCAAGAGGCTTTGTATTCTAAGGTAAAGACCCTAAAATACTACAGAGAAAACCCCAACAATCAGATAACCCCACTCTCTTTTAACAGAAAGCAGATGTCTTTGATTTGTCTTCCTCCCCTCACCCCCAACCGGTGGTAGCAACGTCTGCCCCTCCCTAAATTTCTGGTTCTGCCAGAGGTTTCTTCCTGTTAAAAGGAAGTTTTTCTTCCCACTTTCTCCAAAGCCTTAGCTAATAGGGGGTTATCTTATTGTTGGAGGTTTCCTCTCTAAATTTTTAGGGTCTTTATCTTACAATATAAAGCCCCTTAAGGCAACTGTTGTTGTGATTTGACATTACGAATAAAATCTAATTAAAATGAATTGAAGAAAACTCCAGCACAGCCAGGCTCATGGAGGTACAGCCATCTGTTGTGACTGGTTGGGGAGGGGTAAGAAAGGAAGACTGAACCAAAGAGACAATGTGGAAGTCAGCCAGAGATTAACAGTAACTAATGATGAAATACGATGCTGTGTTCCAAAAGGTTGATTCTGTTCATCTGGAGGTAGCGTTTTCAGTGGGAGAAATGTTTCGTCACCCATCCAAGTGACTTCTTCAGTCTCAGCTGACTGCAGGTTTCCCCAATCTTATAAACAGCACATTTGCATAATGACTGAAACCAGCCCACTGAAGGAACAATGGGCTGTGAGGTCAGTTCCTTGATCATTAGATTAAGGTGAAGAAGAAGAAGAAATGCTCAGTGCACCATGGGAAACCCCCAGCAGCCTAAGTCTATTGGGACGTACCAAGGGAGGGTTCAGTGTCACCTGTCATCCAATCCTTACTATAAGCTTCATCAAAAGGGAAAGTTTTGAGCCTAATCTTAAATCTAGAATAAAGGTCGTCTATCTCCCAATTCCAAAGTGGGAGCTGGTTCCACAGAAGAGAGGTACTTTTAAATACCCTCCTTCCCATCCTGGAGAGGCCATCCACAGTTTCTCAGCTGAGAACCAGAGACTCAGACTCTGAGCTGCTAATTGTCAGCCACTTCACACAAGTGGATCCAGTGTGAAAGTGAGTTTACTAAAACTCATATCCTCTGCCTCTTCATGGCTCCTAAAAAATTCTGTCCATAAAAGTTGTAAACATAGTCAGTTGTACCAATAATACTTCAATAATTATAATAATTACTAAGTAGTATTCCAAGCACATTACTTTTTTATTCCTAGGTTGCAGACGATAAGGCAGAACACAAACTTGGGGGCAAATTCCACAGAACCAAACCAGTTCTGGTTTGGTGGTTTTGGCTTGTGCTCTGGAAACAGAAGGTGCTTTTAAACAGTAAGGCAAATCTTTTTTTTCAACACTCTGAGATTTTTTCCCCCACTCATGCTAAGTTCTCATTAAATTCTGTTGGCCTATCTACAGTTTTCACTCCTTGACCAGCTCTTTTCGTTAACTGTGTTAACACATGTCTGGATTCATCTGCAGCTGAATTCGTTAAAATCCTTAAAGACAGCTGTGACAGCTGTGACGTAAACTGTGGTTCAAATTATCCTTAAAAGGGTCTGGTGTGTCTGCACCATGGTAGACACTGAAGTGAAAATGGAGACATTATGACAACATTTTCTATGGTTTCAATCTGTAAATCCACAGCATGTGTTCTTAAACCTGTGCTCTATCCAACTCTGTGCCATTGGTTTGGCTGAGGTTTCTGTGGCAACCCTGCAATAATTAATAGCTGAATGGTTAAAGGCTCTGGAAGAGAAGTCATGTTTCCAACACTGTAGGCGTTGTGACTGAAGCTGAAAGACTGAAGTTACAAAATATGTGGTACAACCATTCTCGGGACTAGTCTGGCTTGTGTTGTTGGTCCATCCAAGTTATAACATACAAAGAGCTGAAGTGAAAGCAAGTGTTAAAAATGATGGGACGTGTCCACTGCAGTCACTATCTGTGGTTTTCATTTTGTATTTTTTATTATTATCTTTGATGGAGTTTTGTGTGCTTCTCTCTTTCCTCTGGCGAACTCTGTTGCGGCTCCCTTTGCTGTTACGGCCCACTTGTCAACCAGTTAGCATTCGACAACAGACAGCTTGATCTGCATCCAGCAACGTGCAGTTGGGGTTTTGGAAGACTGCACAGGAAGATGTTTGCGGTGGGTGAAAACCCCTCACCAGAAACTGTCCATATGGAATGCCATACGCAAACAGACACAACTGGTAGATCATAAAATACACATGACAGGGATGGTCTGAAATCCATTTAGCCATTAGAACCATAAGATTTGTTGATTTAAAACTTTAAATTGTTTCAGTTTGGAGAACAGCCTGTTTTTTTGGTCATCATGTATGACTGTATCATGTATCAGAGTATCTAGTAGATGTTTTTATGACAGCTTGCTGGGAAACAGTTTACATAATGGCAGCATTTACTGCTGTAGCTCAGGAGGTAGAGCAGGTCATCTACTGATTGGAAGGTTCGATCCCTGGCTTTCCCAGTCTGCATGCCAAATATCCTTGGGCAAGATATTAACCCCAGGTTGCTCTCCAATGCGTCCATTGGACTATGAATGTGTGTGAATGGTAGTTACTAAGGAGTTAAAAGCATAGAAGACAGTGCTTGTGTGAACGTGGCATATTGCATAGAGGGTTTTGAGTACTCTAGGAGAGTAAAAAAGCGCTATATAACAATCAGTCCATTTACCATTTAAAGAAAAATCTCAGCTCAAAAACTGTCACAGTTATTGACAACTCCAGTCATTAAGTGAACTGCAGTGTCAGTTATCTTTTCATGAGTTTAGGTTCATAAAATGTGTGCAACCTTGTAAACACTGTCCATTGTACCATGCGTTATTTATCTTATATTACAAGTAGGGGAATGGCATGTGCACTAAATACCTATATCTATATACCAAGTATCATGAAAATGATAACTTTTTCACTTTTGGCACAAAAAATGCCAGCTGGCCTGCTAACCACACCCATGCTGGCAATTACAGCGTAAAGAAAATGTAGTTGATTTACCGAATACTTTTATAATTTTATAACAAGGGGCAACTACTCAAGACAGTATTTTCTTATGTGAGCTTGCAATCTGTCTCTGTCGGCAGGGAAAGACAAATATTATTCCGAAACCAAACAGTCCCTTCATGAATCAAACGCCCTTTTGATGTGGGCCATAGCAATCGCTTGGCGAGCACATTTCTGTCTAGACAGGCTTCAGTAGACAAATTCTTCCTGCTAATGTTAGCTAAAATTTTATGTTATTCTTATTATTATTTATTGCTGGACAATAAATACTTAAATAAATACAGCACTTCAGGCTTTTAAACTACTGTTGTGTTGTGTTGTTGTTTGCTGTTTATGTGTCTAAATTTGTTGACTTGATTTTATAAGAACTTTGCATTACGTGTGGTCAGAGGCTTGACAAGTCGCAAATGTTCACTTTACTTCAGGTCAAGGCACTACTTGCTATGGTCGATTTAAGAAAACACTACCATGTTAAAACTCACACATTATATGAGTAAATATGTAGTATATACAGTAACTGGACCACCTGTGAATTGCTATTAAAGTGTGATCTCTGTAAACATAGTTTGTCTCACCTCTAACTGGGCTGATTTTGTTGGTGATGGCGTATCTCAGGATCCGCTCCTCCTTCACGAACATGACAAACACCCTCTCCATAAGGATCTGCAAAGTCTCCGGGGTGGCAGCTTGGTTGTTGTGTGGGCAGTCACGGTAGGTGATATTCTGTTTCAGCTGGAAAGAGAAGGACTCGGACCCTCGGTCTGCTGTAACCACTGAATACTCTCTAATAGAGGTGGAGGTTGCAACTGTAGAAAGAGAGATGGAGTCACTTTAAGCAACAAAAAGGGCAATCGAATGATGTATGCTGTTCAATCCTTGACTTTACCTGAGGGGTAGTACTGGTAAGTCTCTTTGAAGGGCTCCATGGTAACTTCAGCACCAGGAGGAAGGAAGGGCACACTGCCGCTGATTACAGTACCCACGGTTAGGTGGTTGTGGTCATCGAGGCCACGGGCCGTCTGAATAATTGACAAGCGCTGGTTCCCAGGGTAAAATACAACCTCTGCGTGACGACTGAACTCAGCACCTTGTAACACAAATAATCATCAATCTTTTATTTACTGGTTTATATATAACAAACATGCAGAAGCTACATTTCAGAAAAAGTGCAGTGTCTACAATAGTTACACACTAACACAACCACACAGCTGTTTCCCATTAGTGAGGGGAGGGGGAAGACTGATATCACATCACATCCCTGGAGACACTACATCTGGCTGGGAGACCAGAAACACACACATGCAAAGAAACAGACACACGATGTCCTTGCTATTAAGGAGTTCCCTCATGTCTCTCCAGAATGTCAAGAGTCAGGACGTACAAGGCAAAAAACTGTGCAAACATGTTTACCTGTCAGTTTGAATCCCGCTTGGCTATTCTGCAGCTCCAAAGCAAACAGCCATCCAAATAGCTCTCCAATGGGTGCAACTGGCATCAGTGCCCAGCCCACTGGTTCTGGTACCTGACCAAGAGGGATAATGTTTGCTAAGTTGACTAAGTTTACATAAATGACGCAAGACATTAAGATGTTCATTTTTTTCAGAGGCTTTTTAACCAACATATTTCAATTTCCTTTACTTAAAAATGATTAAATCCAAGGTGGATTTGAAAAAATTGTGGTTGAAAAAAATTCGAATCGAATTCCCCCAATGGACACTATATCAGGTGTTTGTGCTGATATGCTGTGTTTGGTTTCCTCCTTATTTGGTGTTGTGCATTATAGCCAAACTTTAGTTTCATCCATCCAAAGAACATTGTTTCAGAAGTCTTGTGATTTGTTCAGATGCAAAGTGGAAAACCTAAGCTGTGCTGTCATGTTCTTAGAGGCTTCCTCCTGATAACACTTCAAAGCAAACCATACATGCACTTTTTTATTAAATAACGATGGTATCATGACATTAAACATTGATGGACTCAGACTCTACAGGCCTCAGCATGCCCATGTAGTTCTTGGTCTGACATTGGAATGAATTCACTGGGATTTCCATTATGTTAACACACCTCAATGCTCCAGACCAGCAAACTGACAAAACTTTTATAGAGGTGCTCAAACCTGCTGATGTCAATTAATCAAAAACATTCGATTAGCCAAGTATTAGGGTTACCCTCTTAATTCCTGTGGAAGCAGTACGGGTATGCTTAGTTTGTCTCATGACTACGTGCAGTCCTCTGAAAACTTTCTTTTTCATGACTGTAAGTTAAACCTTGCTCCTGATCTCCTGATCTGATAAGTTAGCCCCACTCTGAAAGCTTACCAGATTGGTTCCTTAAATTTGTTATGGAAAAAGTACTGGCTGCCTTAATCTTAATTACAATATAGAAGAAGCTTGTACACGATTAATGGGGCTGTTTTTCAGGTTGTACCTCGCTGATGGCAGTATACGCCCTCCCGTCTCCCACCACGATGTAGGCATGGAGATCAATGTTGTTCAGCGATACTGGAGTCGATCCCACATACACAGTACCGCTCACCTTACCGCTAACACGCTGGGGGGCACCTGGATGAGCAGCACAGAACGCACACAACAAAGCAGCTTTAATATGTAAAGACAACCAATGGGCACAGCACTTAGAAAAAATGGCCAAGATCTAACCATCAGGCAGACACTGGCGTCCATTTCCATAGAAGCCTGGTTGGCAGTGACAGCAGAAGCCTGTGGCATAGTCAGTGCAAAATGCATTCTGGGAGCACTGCTGCAGGAATCTAAATGAGAAGGAGAAAGTTGTAGTTTTAAGTACGATCGGTGCTTTTTTGATATGTATTCATGGCATCAGACAAGGCATGAGAATGGACAAGTGTCAGATCAAGCAGACACTAACTTAAAATATTATTTCTGCAGGAAAGAGCTTTTCTTTTTTAAGAAAGATCTTCAGATTCTGAGAAAGCAACTTTTACTCTTTACACTGTTTTGAACAAATCTCAGTGTTGTTAAGACACCTAACAAAGTTGTCTTTGATGTCTTTTCAATGTCTTACCAACATTGGCTGTGTAGGTAAGCAAATTAAATTGCATGTCTACTCTTTACATACCTGGCACATGTTTCCTTATTCTCTGTAGTATATTGAATCACTATGAGAGAAAAAAAGTAAGATTAGAGGATACATGATACGACATTTAAACTCATTAGCCTAATGTTTCCACTCTAATGCTTCAGTTATACCCACTACATTGGTTAGTTTGCGCTCCACTGGTGACATCATCACTCAGCCATATTCATTTAAGCTCTCTGTTATGACGCAGCTACTTGCAGTATTCTCCTGAACAGTAAGTGTTGCTACTCAGACAAAACCTTCATATTGCTGATGGTTTAGGGGGAGAAGAGTTTTTCCGACTAAGTCTTATCTTTTCAAACTGTTGCAACATCTCCCTCTGTATCATCTGTGAATGTCTTCTGCAAAATTTATGAAAAATCTTTTATAATGATCAACATTCTATATTATTTTTATGACTTTTACCTGAAAATGAGTGATGGTAAGATGATTCACTTGAACAATTTATATTTTGTCTCCAATCTACACATTGTACAAAAACTTCAATTCAAATGTATTTGTACAGCACCAGATCACACCAACAGTCAACTCAAGGCGCGTTACACTGCAAAGTAAAGACCCTACAATAACACAAAGAAATCAGATGACCCTCTATGACCAAGAACTTACTGACAGTGGGAAGGAAAAACTCTTTTAACAGGAAGAGACTCTGCAGCTGGTTGGGGGTGAGTGGAACAACATGAAATTTGCACACACACACATGCAGACATATATGCATACACTCCAAGATGCTATATGAAAAGAAAACCAGCTGCTGCAGTCCTGCTTCAAACATCCACACATGCACATCTTTCCTCTTTAATGAGAACCTTCATTGACATAATACATTGTGTAGTCTTGTAACCCTCACCACTCACTGGCTAACCACAACCCTAAACTAAGCCAAATATTAACCTAAACCTCAATACCAAGTAATAAACAGTCCTTGGATGTGGCCAAGATGAGACCCAATGTCTTCACAGCATATACATGTTCTGACTACGGCTCTAAATAGACTCTAAACTAAAAGACTGTTTATTTGTTGAAAGTGTCTCTGACTTGAATGCTGCACAATTTTTTTCTTTGAATCGACAAAAAAATAAATAAATAACTGAGTCAGCAAGAAAACTGCTGACTTAAGATATTTAGATTGAAACCTTAAATGCCTATTCTTATTAGAACTGCTCAAGTCTGACCACAACCTCACATGCTTAAGTAACTTCTCTTAACAAAAAACATCACATGGAGCTTGCATAACTCCTGAGCGAGTGCATTGTTCTCTTTGACTTTCTCATTTTCTTTCTCTCTTTTTGGGACGTTGGAATTTTCTAGGGAGACAAAGACGTAACAATTGTACTCCAAGTTTCATAAACATCAAATCCATAAAAATGCCGAAAAATATAAATGTGCTTTCTAAAAACTTCAAAACACATAAATATAGCACTTGACATTTGACCTTTTTTAAAACCCACTTGAAAACACACTTGTATTCTTTAGCTTTTAATTGTGACTAGTCTTTCATTGTTTTTTTACTATGAATGTTTACTATTTCCATTATCTACAGCACTTTGGTTCAACCTGTGTTGTTTTTAAATGTGCTTATGAATAAATTTGATTTGATTTGATTTGCAGCAAGATGCTCCATATCCCATCCTGCCTGTTTCCACTTTTACTATAGCTCTACAACAAAATAGTGAGCTTAAAGACATATCTTGTTTTCCTAAAAACATGCATAAAAATGTCAGATAGAACATTAAACACTTGGCGACAGATCTCGAAGGCTTCTCAGAAAAAACTGTTTCTTTTTCCCAAACTGACCTAATAAGATGAACTCACTTACACAGACAGTTTGCTTGACCTTATATAAGAGGTTCACTGAGAACACATTCTTATTTATGGCAAAATCCTGTGGGAGTAGTTTGAAGGGGAGGGAGCGTGAGCACACACACCTGGTAGCTACACAGCACAACGGCAGTATTGTATTAGGTACCGCTCGGCAGCTGGCCAAGACAGCGAGGTAGCGTTTTCCATGAAACTAATTTCAAAGAGTAGAGAAAGTGCAACCAAGGTTATTTTGTTATAGCTACAATGTACAGATGTCCCCAAATGCATCACATGCAGGCAGTGACAAAGTTACTGATATGAAAAGAGGACAGCTATGAGAATTCACTCTCTGTATATGTGTATGGGTTTGACTGTGCCTGTTCAAAACGTGGCTGTGTGAAATAGGCACATTTTTGGCTGTGGCTTTCTTTAGAATGGCTCCTCAAAACATAGTCTCATGTGACTCACTTCATTGTCACAGGAATCCAAAGACAAATAAATAAATAAAATTGCATGAAAAACAAAACAAAGTGTATACTTGCCCAGTTATCACTATGACAACTTGACTGTGAAAAAGACTGAACTTTTGACCAGCTGTCCTTTTGTTTCTGACGTCCTTTAAATGGCCTATTTTGGCCTAAGCGTGAAACGAGCACACTATGAAGTAACTTGGAAAACTGTTGGAAAGTGTATCTAGACGATTCAGTGAGGTACCACATATTGATTTGACTGCTCTGTGCACTTCTTTAGGATAAAGTTTGCTGATAAGTTTTAAAAAAAGAAAAATACTCATTGTTTTTTTCTTACCTCCTGTGTCAAAATTAACCTGTTCTTCATCCACACTGACCACATGTGCTCCAGGGGAAAGAGGCGGAGCATTTCTATGTGGGGTGTGCACATTCACCACTTTCAGAGGCAGCTGCAGAGGAAGACACAGGAGAAATATGTTCTGGCATTGAAAGCAATAAAATCCAAGCCTGTAGCTGTAATTCTCTACAAATATCATAATCCAGAAAGTTATGATCTGCGCTATGTTCTCATTATTTTGTTGACAACACCATTCCACTATGACCATGATATTTTCTTAAATTGTCCTTTGAATTTAAAATCCTTTTAACACCTGACAACCCTGCTGTTTCAATTCCCTTTTTTCATATCTAACTAAGGCAGTTGTGATGGCAAAAGGTGTGCATAATACCAAGTTGTGCATGATAAATGGTTAGTGGGTTATACTACAGTTCTTTGCACATTTGAACCACTGTTACCTGTGGTTGCTGTTCCTGGGGCTGCTGAGCACCTCCCTCTGCGACTGTCTGTAGAGGATTAGGGGAAGCGTACTGCCTCTCTGGTGGCTCGAAACCATACACAGGTTCAAAGGTCAATGGTATATTGTCGCTCCCATAATGGTTTTGCGGTAGAAGGAATCTTGATCGGTCACCATCAGCAGGTGCAGGCTGGAATTCAGGGTTCCTCCCTGTTAAAGGATAATCATCTTCTCTTTCTTGGGTATTAGGGTCAAACGTATTCTCCACATATTCTTCAAACTCATCATAGTCTGGGGTGGTGGTGCCCTGGAAGGAAAAACAATGGAAAAGTCAGAGGAGTAAAGAGCAGCATGGGTGTCTGAGGTTGTGGTGGCAGCTAATAAAACTGATTGGACTGGGGATTATCTAAAAAGAACATCAGAAACAGTGTGTAAGATAAAGAACAGTGAAAACAATCATAACAAGAGGGTTGTGTCTGACTGTCTTATCTGTTGGGAAGCCCAAGATGGTAGAAATGTCCTACACTGGTGCCAACTCCACCCAACACCCAAAGAAGGGTCACACCAACAGATTGTACTGTTAAACAAGTCTAAGCCCTGGATCAGATGGTGGCAAAACTTCCCCTGTGCAATAGGAGCAGGCGGTGGTTAACTGAGGGCAGATGGAAGAACTGCAGGCCCAGGCCGAGCGGCACAACCCGGTGCTGGAAAACCTTGTGGTCTGGTCTGGGGCCGCAACTCAACTGCCTCTACTTACCATGGTTCTTTGATCATGCCACACAAGACAGTGGAGACGTATGACCGCAGCTGGTCTTGGATATGTTTGAGGATACAGTGTTGGAGGCTGGTAAGCAGCTGGTGGAGGAAAAGGCTGTGTGGCTGCTTCCCCTATTGTCTGGGGAAGGGCAGGCAGCAGCGCTCAGCCTACCAGCGGTTTTTCAGGGGAACTTTAAAGATGTCTGGAAGACTGTGCTGGACTGCTTGGGCTACTCCCATAAAGACCAGTGCTGCCAATTCCACAACTCCAGACTGGGAGTGGGAGATCAGCTATTGGCCACACCCAGCTGGCTGTAACTAGGGATGTTGTAGTGGGAAATGTACATCCTGTTGCTGGTGGTGCTGATATAATATGATAAAACCATAATAAAATCGTGACCCAATTCTTCTGGATTAGTCCTACTTGGAATGCCAGTCAGGTCATTTCACTGGAGTGCACAAGGATATCCTTTTGTTTTTAGTCTTGGTGAATTATGCAACACAATATCATGAAGAGGTGGCTTTGTGAAGCATTTCAATTTCTGCTGAGAGTGTGGTCCATGAGCTGTTTCTGGTCATATTCTGAATCCCAAAAGAAATATTTACTGACCAGGGCAATTTTTTCAAATCTCACACATGGGCTGGTGGAGTGTGTGAATAAAGCATTAAATTCCATGATGTTTGAGGAGAAGTTCATTCACAAGGATGAATGAACTTGGGACTGGTGGTTAGACCCACTGTTGTTTCCACTGTAGGAGGTGCCCCAGGCCTCCACTGATTTTTTCTTTTCCTTTGAAATGCTGTTTGGCAGAAAACCACGTGTGGTGTTGGACCTACTTACAGAAAACTGTGAGAAAAGTCCAAGCAAAAATAAAAGAAGAGAGGATGTCAGAGGATGACAACAGAGAGGCTAGACTCAAGTAGTTTACACCAGGAGGTAAACTACTTGTGTTTCTCCCATCCTCCAGCTGAAAAGTACTTGTCAAGTAGTAAGGGTCTTTTGTGGTCACACATGATGGGTGGGTGATGTCAATTATGAGTTAGCACATTCTGCCAGGGGTAGAGCCACAAAAATATACTGCCTGAAAGTGCAGAGGCAGGCAGATCCTGTTTCTCTGGTGAGCTTGATGAAAGACAAAGATGGGTTGGGGCCCATTCCCGCCATTCCTTCGTGACGACCATCTCACACAAGCCCAGAGAGCAGATGCTGTTAGGTGGTTCTTGGAGCTGAATGGGTTCATCATGAACTTTGCAGAGCTAACTAGTCCCCTGACCAACCTCACCCGAAAGTGTGAGTCAGACCTGGTCCATTGACAGAGCAGTGCCAAGGAAGCTTTAAATTCCATTTGACTGGGTAAAATAAACTCTCTGGGGATAACCATGCTCCATAGTCCTAACTTCTCCCTGAGGGCAGGTGGCCGTTTTGTGTTTGCAGGTGAGGGGATTCGACTGAGGTATACATCGGTTGTAAGCTGTCAGAGCGCAAGACTAAATACAGCACAGCAGATAAAGAATGTCTGGCAATTCTGTAGGCAGTTGAAGCCCTCCACTGTTATCTCCTGATATGCTGATTCACCCTATGTTCGGGCAATGTTTTGCAGAATGATGGCTCCATTGCACGAAGGATGCCAACACCCAGATCATCCAACGATATCTAGCTTGACAGCCTTTCAAATTCACGATGATCCAAAGGCTTGAGGTATAGATGGTTGTGGCTGATTTCCTCTTCTGTGGGCAAAGGAAGTTTAGGCTCCGCATCCCAGGTTGGGCGATTGGGGTATTTGGTGGCGGGGTGTGGTTTTGGCTCAGCGCCGGGAGAGCTGGAGCAGAGGGCTCTTTGGGCTGGCTGGCACAGCTGTCAGCAATTGTCTCATTATGTCTCTTCTATTTATGCAGTAGCTCGCTGGGACCAAGGTGTGTATAGCAATCACTTGGACTAGCAGCCAGAAGAGCTACTAGAGCTGATAAAATTGAGTGGACATGTCACTGTTAAAAAAGCGTTAGAGATAACACTGAATGAATAAAGAAAGCAGCATAGCAAGAACGTTGTGTCTGACTGTGTGTGTTGGGAAGCCCATGATGGCAGAGATGCTCTACAGCAGGTGTGTCAAACTCATTTTACATGGCGGGCTACGTGCAACCCACTTTGATCTTAAGCGGTCCGGACGACTGAAACTCCCCATTCTGTAAAGAAGTTACATATTTAACTGTTTTTCTACATGTGCCAATAACAGAAATCTGTCAGCACGGCTCTTTGGACTTAAATTGTAAGAAATAAAATTAAAGTAAAAGTTCTGGTAGCTCATTGCTCTGACTTCCAGTTTTGTGTTATTTGTTTTTTTTTAATTGTTTTTCAATTGTTTTGTTTTTAACTGTAGTCATAAAAAAATGAAATTTCTATAGTAGAAATTGAAAAGCAAACTTTTCTGTTTTTCACAAAGTTACAGAGGTTTTACTAAAGACATGGCTAAGCCTTTTGCAATTTAGCATAATCTGGAATGATTTATGAAAGTTGAAATTTCTGATGTACTCAATAGCAGAAATTAGGCTTTCTTGTTAGAGGTCATTTGGGGAGAAAAAATTGTGGCCGACAACACTGTACAAAGCAGTAGACTGGTGCATAATAAGCAAGCAAATAAGGCAGAAAATGTAGATTTTTGATGCACTACAGTATATTTCAAGAAGATATATTGTTATCTTCCAAAAGCTAAATCAAGCAAATAACAAAATTACCATATGGGAGTCATATCCTACAGTTGGTGGAGTAGAAACAGGACCTTTAATGGATGCAGGTACAATGTTGTCAAAGGAATAACGGTTTCCAGTGTGGAAAAGCCAAAGGCCTGGAATTCCACTGTTACCAAACCTAGAGCAGAAGAAATCAGACATTCACAGAAGGATGTAAATAATTATGTGCACCACAAAAAAACATTTTCTGTTGTTATAAATGTCCTAAGCTTCTCCTGCAACAGCATTTGAAGAAAAGGTTCAACAAAGGACATAAGGCAAGGCACATAACAATGAATGTGAACATCTTTTTTTGAGTCACTAATTTTAGCTTGACATTTACAACCTGTAATTATTAGCTATCTGCCCCTTATTGTGCTATACATGCACTGTCATTAGCAAGCTCTTACTACATACACATTTATTTACCAGTATTTGTTTTAGCGATTACTGTGTGTGTATGCATCTTGTTACTTGTTTCGATTCTGATCATAGAACAAGTCATTATTTGCGTACATCTAATTCTAAGGTTAAACTGTTGGCTGCAAAGAAATTTATGGTTTAACCTTTTTTACTTACTGGTAGAGGTTTTTAACACTCTGCTCATTACTGGTGACACTGTAGTAAGGGCCTTCATTTCGGGAAGTTAATATATTTGGAATTTCTCCTCTGCTGAAGCCAACTCTTGCTGGAAGCTCTATCTCAACATTATACGACTCCTAGAAAAATTAAAAAAACAAAAAACAAACAAAAAACAGAACAACATAATAACCATGTTCTCAAATAAAATAAAATAAAATAAAATAAAATAATTTGTCAAATATTTAGCAACAAATACTAACAATAACAAAAATTAGGAACTATATAGAATAATTCAATAGTCATTAAGGAACAAAATAATATGTAAAATCTGAGCAACCAAAACGTGCACACAGATACTAACATAACCCTGGTCAAGTGTTATGTTGACCCCTTTATGCACCTAAAGCAGCAGTGGCTATGTGAAGTGATAAAAATAGTGATATAAATACAATGGTTCATTTTGCTCGTGTACATTTTGCCCTACAGCTGTAACAGTGATGACTTAACTCTTGTTTGCTTACCTTAGGCAGTGTGCCAAAGAAGTTCAGACCGCCTTCAGGGTAGAGGAAGAGGACATATGAGTCTGTCTCATCATAACCAATAACAGCCTGGAACGTATTGACCTGTGGAGGCAAAAGCGGATTACAACATGGGCAGCAAGAAAAAATAACCCTAACCTGCTCAGCCAGGGTTCCAAGTGATCTGAGCAGGTACTAAAATGTGACATCATCACACTGCATGCCACCGATTGGCTAGTCTGTGGCGTCATTCCATGAGTCATGAGAGCGTGTCGTTCAGGAAAATCAAAACCACATTTTTGAAACCTAGCAACAAGGCTGAACAACGCCGTGTTACCCCGAGCAGCAGGTATAATCTTGCCTCGAAGTCCACTTTTATTGTTGGTTTTGTGTTGCATATTGATTACATTGTGGTACACTCAGACGCGTTGCTATGACGACAACCACGTCCATCAAGAGGTACTAAATTGTAATGGAAAACCAGTCGATCCATGTCAAACCGATCTGAGTAGCTACTAATGGAAAAGGGGCTTGTGTGGCGTCAATCAAACACTTTCCAGGTGGATCAAATCTGGAACATCTAAACAGATATGACAAGGTCCCCAACGCCATTGGCTGACATGCAGCTCCTAACCATGACAAAACCTCCAACGTGTTTACAGATGGTTATAAACTTCACTGTTGTATTCTATTGTATTGTATGCCTGTGAGACTGTTCTATATTTGCAATCTTTCATCGATTGAACTAAATAAATGGAAACAAAAGTTTTTGTGAAAGGCTACTGATAAGAAAGTATCTAAAGTACAGTTTAAATCAGTTCATCGCTTGAGCCTTGTTTTCCCCTTTCCCTTTTTTATGCTTGAACTATTTGCAGGTTAAGTTACTTAACCCAAAAATTAAAAATAAAATGAGAAAGTCTGGCTCACTGGAAGCAAACTACACTACATATTTATGTTTTTCTGATTAACATAGTGTTGAATCCAGTTTTTACACATCTATAAAATCACCTCCAGTGTGTCCTGCTCAGCTTAACCTCCCTCCGATTATTCATTATTTTTACACTTACTCCTCATGTTTAAACTTCACACCTCTCCTGCACCTACCCTCTCCTCCTCCCTGTGTAGCCTGCCCTTCTTCTCTCATCTGCTGGGTCCCATGTTTAGACTTCTCACCTTTCACACCCCCCACGCCTTGCGGTCACCAAAACGACTACTTAATCTCATCTCATCTCATCTCACTTTACACAAACTAAGCTGAATTGAATGAAGTCTGCATGGACTGACGAATGAGGGAATTCCATTTACACGGGAGACTGTGACTTGAAGAACTTATCTCCTACACGTATGGGAGAGGCCAAGCCCACTGCTCAACCACAGTTGAACAAACACAGATTTAGTGAATGAAGGAGACACTGTGAGTGATCCCATGTTGTTTTCCTTTGGAACAAAATCCAATTATCCGTAGACTCACACATAAAAAGAAAGCAACAGATATACACACACCTCATACTCTCAGCCCCCAGCCCAGATGTTGATCTCCACAGCTGTCTTCCTGTGTGTCTCAACATCTTTCAGGATGACTTTACAACATGCAAACCAGAGACCAGCTACAATGTGTTAGCCAGGGGCCATGGAGGGCACACACACACACACACACACACACACACACACACACACACACACACACACACACACCTACAGATGTTCCTCCACCTATATTAATCTCATGTGAATGCATGTGTGTGTCCCCCACCTTGTTTACATCAACATCTTTAAATGCTCTTGCTGTTTGTGGGCGGGAGGGATTTCGGAGCCTCTGGGCTCTGCGCAGTTAGTGAGGAGGGGGGCTTGTGTTTTCAGGGAAGGAGGAGAAGACGCTGGAGCAACATGACGTGATGTGTACCTTTTTTTGGGGGGGGAAGGGGGGGGGGGATTCTGATACTCCAACTAGATGTCTCTCCTGTTTTTGTTGCTGCTTTCTTGGGAGCAGGAGGAGGAGAAATGAAGGACACAGCGAGAAGCAAAAGGAGCACTAAAATTGTAAGGATGATCTGATATCCTCGTGTTGGTGTTGTTCCCAGACCATCATGAAAATGTTGTTCCAGGTTCAACATTGCAAGTGACCAATCGCATTGTTGTGACGTTATTCTTTTGCGCGCCAAGCCATTCGTGCATTTATGAAATTCCAATGTTGCAAGGACAATATCAATTCTGCTTACCGTTTATTAAAGGGTTACGGTTAGGGTCAGGGTCCGTTGATCGGCGGACAGAGGCGGTTTCACGCAGCTTTAGTACAGTTTTTTGTTTTACGCCGGTTTTTCCCGAAGTTGCAAAAGTATGACGTCACAACATTCTGATTGGTCACTTGCAATGTTGATCCTGGAACAACATTTAGTATGATGATCTGGGAACAACACCAACACGAGGATATCAGATCAACCAAAATGTAAGGTTAAGTTGAGAAAAGCAAAAGGAAGTTTGTTTGTTTTTTCTCTGTCTACATGTAACATACACCAATCAGCCACAACATTAAAAACAGTGACAGGTAAGGTGAGTAACGCTGATCATGTCTTTACGATAAGGTGAGTGCTAGGAAAGCTTGGGCCTGACATCCATGTGGATGTTACTTTGATAGGTACTATCCACTGAAATATTGTTGTAAACTACAACCGTATGAAACCTAATAACCCCTCAAGTCGATGTGATTTACTCCTGAACTATAAGTGTTGCTAAAAACACAGATAAAAGAAGTTAAAACACGACTTTGGGGAGCAACTGAAAGTAGCTGAGAATATTTAATCTTTCCCAAGTGTTCGAGCAAACACCAGCCTGTTCCAGCCTGTAGAGATAGAGTGTGGTGATGGACATGGGGGGGGTATAGATGATGATCTCATTTTCACAACAAATAAATCCATTCATAAAATGCTGAACTAATGCGTTTTCGTTTGAAAACGCATCGTTTTCTCTCAGTTTTGGCCTCCCGTCCACACTGAGACGGAGGAAAACACAGTGTTTTGAAAACGCTCTCGAAAACGCATACATTTGAAGACGGTGCTTCAAATGCAGTGTGGACAGCGAAAACGGAGACTTTAGAAAACGATGATGCATATTAGTCATATGATGCAGTCATGTGACCAATTAAACTAAGATAGCGGAGGGCATTGTACAGCAGTTGTTTTGTTTACTCTCAATTTTGACAGCGATATTAAAGATTAATATCAGTTTGTACATGCTTCAGATAGCTTTTCTTCAAATTCTTTAACTCTCACTCGCTTTTGCAACTTTGTACTTTTGTGTTACTCACAGCAGCAACTCCACGTCATTGTTAGTCCATTTAAAAAACTTTTCCTCAACATTTTGCCGCGATGTTTCAAAGAACCGGAAAGTAAATAAACGGCAGACAGAAATGAGGCAGGTTGAATCTCCTTGCGTTTCACGCATGCGCAGTACTGGAACGTAAGCGTTTTCGGGCGTTTCAATGTGGATGCACAACTCTGTGAAAACACCGTTTTCAAATCTATCCAGGCTAGTGTGGACGTAGCCTCAGTCCTGTAAGGTCCTCTGTGCTGGTCCCCATCCCGTCTCTGTCTTTGTACTCATGTGTTTGTCTGTCTCCCCAAGTGTGTAAAGAAGTCTCACAGCTGGAGAACAACAAATTGCAGCCAACACACATCAAAGACGTTTAGACTCTGTAGCTCAGTATGCATGTGAGAGGTCCCCCGCTCCCCCCACACACACACACACACACACACACACACACACACACACACACACACACATATACAACACTCAGACTCCCTACAGGCGTTGTGTCACACCTTTTTAAAGCGTTTCCTCACACTCTTTGCTGCAAGCAGACGCAGGCACAGACGTTTAATTGTCTCTGGGACCAACAAATGTTTCTTTTGGGGGCCATGCTGACTGTTTTAAGGTTTAGGTGGTAACATCATCCATCTGCTAGGCCTGTCTGCTTCACAGCAGGGGGTGAGAGAGTCTGAAAACACCTCTAAAGAAAAATACCAGAAGTTTATTTAGAAAGGTGATAAGCACTTACATGAACTTGCCTTTTAGACCTGTGTATAAATCACATTAAAGTCAATTATGTTTTATTATCATGGGACCAGTTCTCTACAACCGCTGTCACAAAGTGATTTTTACTGCACTGTAAGGAAACAAGCCTACAATATTCAAGAGATACGCCCAACATATCAGGTGATCACGATGGTGGGAAGGAAGAACTCCCCTTTAACATTAAGCAACCACCTGCAGAACCAGGCTCAGAGAGAGGCGGCTGTTCGCTATGACAAATCGGGACTGAGGAGACAGAGAAGGTAAAAAGAAGAGGGAATGAGACCAGGTACAACAAACAGGACAAAACAGAAGAGAAAGAAGACTGAAACCTGTGTCAAGTTTTGTTTTCTTCATCATTTTTGTCTCTCAATGGCAGCCTATGAAGTGTCATTTGTTGCATTTTGAGTGGCCCAATGATTTATGTGATTGCATATGATGATGATTCATAACAATCTCCCTTCTTTTGGTGTTTTACTTTTAAAGGAATAGAATTAAAATTAAAATATTGATATCACTTTTAAGTTTGCACTCTAAATATGAAGCTAGAACTAGCTTAGATAGTTAGCTATGATTAGCTTTGCTTAGCATACAGACTTGATACTATAATACTATTTAATAAGCTTTATTCTGTATACACAGATCATGTAAGCAAGAAATATTCCTCATCAGCCCTAATCTAAACAACATTTTACATATACTGCAATATAGATCCAATTATTTACAGCCAAGAAGTTATTTTTGCAAAAGTTTGCTTAGCTGATGCCAAGTAGCAATGAAAAAGAAGCTAAAAGGAGTCAATCCAAACGCCTAACTTATTTTCTTACAGCCTGGTACAAAAACTGTTTCCCTATTTCTAAAAACTATCTGATATGATAATATTCATATCACTCACCCTATCAAAATCTATTCATGTTTAATGTTGTTAAACGGCCACTTTAAAATGTCATCGCTTTCAGCATTCAGTTGTACTAAAAATCACTTTAGTGAGTTGCTTCCTCAGTTTTTCCACTAAGTTAACTTTGCTTTCTAGGATA